CCTTCCCTCCTGACACCCCACGAGTCTCCCCCAAGCTGCCAGGCCAAGGGTGTGTCTCCCTGCAGGTGTTCCCAGGGTTATGGTGCACACGGCCACTGCTGAGAGGGTGCAGCCAGCAACGAGTAAATCCGCTGGCTGGCAGGTGTGAGCCGGGGCGGGAGCCCCAGGGGAAGGCCCATGGCTGGGCTGTGGGCAGCGTTCTTGGGGACGGCCTTGTCCAGGGATGCCATGGGGTAGCCTGCCTGGGGAGGCCAAGCCAGGCAGGGCACAAAGGCCAGGTGTTTCAGCCAGGTGGGGGCACCCTGGCTACCGACACTCCAGGCTTCTCCCTCACCAACCTCACCTCCTCCACCTTCCCTCCGAAATACCTTGCACCCAAATTCTATGTCTGTCTCCGCTTCTGGAGAATCCAACCCCCACTGGAGAAGAGAGTCACTAATTTGGGATTTGGAACTGGGTCACTCACGGCCCATGGGAAATGAGGACCCATCACTGGTCAGGGGAGATAGCTGGCACCTGGCACAAAGAGGTCGTCCTGTCCAGTCCAGTTGTGAATCTGGTTCCAGTGTCCAGTGGGAAAGTTGAGGAAGGGGGTGTGCTGGGGGGCCCAGCTGCTGTGTTTGATGAATGCACAGACACGAGGGGGCTCCAAGGAGGAAGCAAATAAGGCACAGGTGGCTGAAGCCTCACTGAGGTGCCCGGTTGGAGTTCAGAGAAGCTGGGCGGGGGCACAGCACCCCCAGCTCCTGACCAACAGCTAGCCAAGGCCAAGGCCCCATCTGGAGAACCCAGGACCCCGGACAGGGAGGAGGCCGTGCGTGGCGCCGGAAGGTTTCACTCTCTAGCCTCTCAGGAAGCTTCTGAGCCTGCAGAGGGATGTGGCCCACCCCTCGCTCCTCCCCCGTCAGGCCCTGGCCCCCTTGGGTGCTAGGGCTCTGATCGAGCGACGTGTCAGCAACATCCAGTGACCAGAGAGTGGGCTGCAGGCCCAGCCAGCTCAGGGCACGGGAGGGGGCTGCAGGCCCGGCCAGTTTGGGGCACAGGAGGGGACTGCAGGCCCGGCCAGCTGGGGACAGGAGGCAGGAGCACTGGCAGGACTGGGTGCTGAGGTGCCTGATGGGGAAGCTGAGACCTAATGACAGTGTCCAGAGACACAGGGTTTGACACCCTGGCAAGGCTCCTGGAGGCAAACCCGGAGATTCCCAGCAGCACAGGCCACACCTCCACTTTTGCTGGGCAGGGTGGAGACGTCCCAACCGCTGTGGCTGGCGGAGGGTGGGCGTAGACGTGTGTGTGGTGGGAGCTGCCAAGCACTGGTTCCCTGGGAAAACCAAGGTCACGCCGCTCACTTGTGCCATGCTTCTTAATGGGGAGTGGCAGCTGTGCCGCAGGAGGCTGGCGCGAGTGGCAGTGGTGCCACAGGAAGCTGGTGGCAGGAACCACCATCACAGGGTTTGGCTCGCCAGGGGCGGAGGGCATCAGACCTCTACACAGCAGAGGCCAGGATACAATCATGAACACAGTGGAAGGGCGCCAAGGGGCCTGACTGCAGGGCTTATAGGGTGACAACAGAGCAAGGCAAGGGCCGCCAGCGAGGGCAGCGCTCAGGTGGAGCCAGCAGAGGGATCCAGGAGGACCGAGGGTGGTCACTCCACTGAAGAGCCCCAGTTGGGCCCACACTGCCCGAGTTGGTTTTCGGCCCGGGTATCTGTTGACTGAAGAGGTGGCCAGGCCTGCAAGATGAAGGACACTCCCCCATCGGCAAGTGTGCATGACAAGGACTTCCCCAGGGACTATGTGCACCGGGGAGAGAATGTCCAGACATCTGGGAGCCACTGAGCACACAGGCCAAGCTCACGCTGGTCCCCAAGAGTCACCAGGGCTCCATCACAGTGGGACACATGACAGGCAGTTAATAATGGAGTCCTGCCCTGGACCAGCTCACATGAGCCCACAGGGCCTACAGACCCACCCAGGGCCACGTCCTAGTCTCTGAGCCTGTGACAGATTGACACCTGGGGAGTGACCGACATCTTTGTTGCATCTTTGGGGTAGAGATGGCCGTGGGAAGGCCAAGAGGGACACTAGAAGGCCAAGACTGCCCCCTCCTGCCCGGGTCCCAGAGCAGCCATGGCATGTGGAGAGAGGGTGGTGGCCCTGCTGTCTCTCCATTTGGTTCAGTGTGGCCCTGTGGGGTGGGATTCCTGGAGGGCCACGTGGCAAGTGCACACACGGCTGAGGGGCGGCCCAGTGCAACAGGCCCTGGAGGCCCAAGTACCCAGGGTTGGCCATCAACTGGACGAATATGCCATGGAAGATCAGAAACTGCTCACATTTCTATGGAATTTGTATGGAATGGACAAAGGCATTTGCCATTTTTCCTGGGGCCTTTGCCATAATATACGACAGACAGGCCTGCTGGCCGGACGCCCTGAAAGCACCGCACTGATCCACGATCTTGACGACAGGATGCTGATGGAGTCAGAGCACAAGGCAACTAGGGACGAACAACGCCAGGCCGGGGCTTGCTGCACCAGAAATGTTCAGGCTGGCTGGGGGTTAGAGGCCTGCCAGGCGTTCCCTCCGATCGCATCTGGCACCTCCCATCAGAAGGAAGCACAGGGCCTCAGGGGTCTCTGCAGGCTCCAGAGGCAGCCTTTTCCACACCCAGGAACATGGTTCCAGCTGGTAGACCAGACGGCCAAGGCAGCCAGGTCGAGCGGAGCCAGCCCGCAGCGGAGAGATGACGGGCACCAACCACGGCCCCAGAGTCACGGAACGCTGTGCTTTCCAGGCCTCCTCTCAGGCGATGGCCCGGATGCGGGAAGCAGGTCCTGGCTGTGGACTTTGGGAAGAGCTGCTCAGCTGGAGGGTGTGGCCGCCACCGTCAGGGCCTGCCTCAGGGATAGTGGCTCCTGAGGGCCTGGGGGGCAGGGATGCTCACCATAAGGGCCTGGCCGGCCCAGGTGGGGTTTGCTCCAGAACTCTTCCCGGGGTCCCCACCACAGTCTATCCTGACATGGACACACCCCTGCAACTGTCTTCCCTTCACAGGCACTGTCCCTGAGAAATACCTCGACCCCACCTGTCCCACCTCAACCTGCACCATCAGGCACCCTGCACAGGACCTGCCTGCCCACAAACCCAGGGATCTAGGGCAGCTCTGACCCAGCTCGAGCCTCTGGCTTGGGCACTGTCCTGCAGGGTATTTCTTTGGTGACTAGCCCCTCACTGTTTGCCCCAAGTTCCTGCACCCTAATAGGCAGCACCACTGGCTTCACCCGAAGTCAGCACATAAGCCAGTGGATAAGGGAGATCTGTGGCAGGCTCTACACACAGGGAGACAGAGCCCAATCCTGCTGCTCAGGAATCCGTGTCTGAAGATGCTGAGAATCCAGCTGCCACAGCCACTGCTGCTGTGGGCCACTGAACCAGCAAGCAGAGGGGCTAAGGGGCCAGGGCCAGGGCAGCTTCCTGTGGGTGAGTGGGGAGGGTGACTTGGCATGGCTAGGGTATGGAGAGGGGAACAGCGGCACAGGTCCCAGTGGGAACACAGACACCAGGACTCCAGAGATGGTCGTGATCGGGCAGTAAGGCCCAAATCAGGCTCACTGGGTGCTATGGTTTGGAGTTGTGTCCCTGCCCAAATGTCATGTCGAATTATATATAATCCTCAGTGTTGGAGGGGCCTGGTGGGAGATGACTGGATCATGGGGGCAAACATCCCCCTTGCTGTTTTCGTGACAGTGAGTTCTCCTGAGATCTGGTTGTTTAAAAGTGCACAGCACCTCCCCTTCGCTCTCTTCCTCCTCCAGACACCTGCAGACTGCCTGCTTCCCCTTCGCCATGATTCTAAGTTTCCTAAGGCCTCCCCAGTCATGCTTCCTGTACAGTCTTTGGAACTGAGGCAATTAAACCTCTTTTCTTTGTAAATTACCAGTCTCAGAGAGTTGTTTATAGCAATGTGAAAAAGGACCAATACACGGGGTCTCCCCAGGCACAAAGGGACTCAGGAAGCGAATGGAATTTAAAAGGGATCAGTGGTGGGGCTGGTGGCTCATTGCTGCAATCTTAGTGCTTTGGGAGGCCAAGGCAGGAGGATCGCTCAGGCCAGCCTAGGCAGCCATATATCAAGACCCCTAAGTATTCAAGAATTCAAAAGCTAACCAGGCTTGGCACCGCGCCTGCTTCCCTAGCCACCTGGGAGGCTGAAGGAGGATTCAAGAATTCAAAAGCTAACCAGGCTTGGCAGCGCACCTGCTTTCCTAGCCAGCTGGGAGGCTGAAGAGGGAGGATCACTGAGCCCAGGAGGTTGAGGCTGCAGTGAGCTATGATCACGCCACTGCACTCCAGCCTGAGCAACAGAGCAACACCCTGTCTCTAAAACAAAAGGGCTTAGTGACAGCCCTCCCCAGCCATGTCTGGAACTGACCTCTGCACCGTTCGGTGACACTATAGCTCTCATTGCAGCATTTGGTGTGAGGGATGAAGGAGAGAGGCCTGGAGAAATAAGTAATCCTAGGACACTGCGCAGATGAACTCCGCCTGAAGGCAGAGGAGCCGTCCAGATCCAAGGCCCTCTGTCCACATGAACCCGGGGTGCCTCCCTCTGCAGCAGCTCCCATTCTAACACCCATTTCCGAGACGTCCTTCTTCACCACAGCCTTAGCAGTGCCTTCGCCGGCCCTCCCCACCCCTCACTCCCCAGTCTATCAGTCCTCTAAGGCCAAGGCTTGACCTGCCCTGGCCAGCCTCAACCTCAGCCCTCAGTGCCCTGGCCTGGGGCATGCCTTGTGCCCGCCTCTCCAAACTTCTCCCCTCCTCCCCACTTACCATCTCATCCTGCAACCTGCCCTGCCTGGGTTGGCTCTGCCCACCTCGACAGGCCCCCAGCCCCTCCAAAGGCCATCTTCATCCTCACCACCTCGGCAGGCCCCCAGCCCTCCCCACAGCCTGCTCAGCAAGAGTGGGCACAGCCTGGAGCTACTTGGAGCAAGACGGATCTGCAAATCCTCAGCGTTCATGTTTATTTATAAAGTTACATCCTAAAAGTGATGCAAACAATAAATAGGTATAAAGAAGATCTGCTGCCCTACCCTGTGGGTGTGAGGCTTCCGTGTGGAGTCAGCAGAGGAGGATCTGGGAGGGATCCTGGGAAGCTCTGGGATCCTGGGGTCTCTGCCGTCTCAGAGGCGCGACAGAAGCCGCCAAGCTTCCCTCCCTTCCTCTGCAGCACCTGCTTGCCCCCAGGGCTGAGTCTCTCATGATGGAGGCTTCCCGTGGACCCTTAGGCAGCAGCCCCCTGGCAGGGCTGCGAGGCGGGCCAAGACTCAGGACCAGCCCTCACAGTGCAAGGCTGGCCGGCCCAGTTGCTGGGAACCTGTCAGGCCCTTGAGTTCCAGTCACCTGAGCTGGCACAGGGAGCCACCCTGTTAGGTTTTCATCACTGCCATGACGGAGACCTGCAAGGACAGATGGGGGCCCAGGTAGTGGTGGCACTCGCCCCTTCTCACATCCCACCCCGAGTGCAGCCAGGAAATGGGACGCAGCCTCAGCTCCCCCTTTCCTTCAAAGCACCGCCCGGGGCTCTCACAGGAAGAGTCAAGGGCACCTCACGTCCCAGAGAGAAGCCGCCTGCCTGAGGTTGCAGGTAGACCCTAGGCCACCAGGCAGCCCCAGGCAGGTGAGCCGAGCTGGCGGAGCTGCATACACACCTCCTGAAGGAACTGGCCCAGCATCTCCTGGCTGTGAATGGATGGCCTGTGGAGAAACACCAGGTTACCGCTCCCAGACCTTGTCACACGAGGGGCTGCATGCTCCTGGCCCACCTCCCACCAGACTCTCCTCCCAGGCTCACACCAGCAAGGAAGGGTCCCCAGGCAGGCAGGACAGCCCTGGTCCGCCAGGATAGGTAGAAGCTTGAGAGTGAGGGGTGGGCAGGAGAGACGTGGGGGGACGGGTGTGCACTAAGACTCCAGGACCTCAGCCTCCAGCTGGCCACCCCCAAGTCCCAGAGCCCCACCTGTCAATCCTGGTTGCGATGGTCACAGTGAAGGCCCCCTCTGTGTCTGGCAGGTAGGTGGAGGGCACGACCCTGTAGGTGCCTGGAGGCAGGAGGCAGAGCCGGCTCACCTCCTGGGCATAGCGATGCGGCACGCAGCTCAGCAGCGGCTCCTGCAGCAGCAGTGGGGGCGCGTCCTGGCTCCTGCCACCCTCTGGAACCTGGGGGAAGCGTGGGCTCAGACTGAGGGAGCCAGCCTTGGGGTAGGGGATGCAGCCCAGGGCCATCTGCTTGGATGCCCTCTTGAGTTACACACAGCCCCTTCTCCAAGGAGGGGCTGCCAGGCCTGGACACTGGACTCGCCTCCTCACCAAGGCCTGGCCGCCCTTGCCAGAAGGTGCCGGCAGTGGGGCCCCGGCCTGGAGGCCCATCGCATCATCAGGGGCTTTAACACCTGTGGCTGCCCAGCCCGCCCCAAGGGCTCCCACTGGCCCTGGCATGTGTTTTCCTCAGAGCTCCAGGGGACCTGAGCCGGCAGCCCAGGGCAAACAGCGAGGCTCCGACGGTCCCCAGGCAGCACACTGTGAACCGAGGGTCGCAGTGCCTTCCTCATCAGGGCCCCTGCATTCCAGGGGACACATGTCTGCAGAGAATGAACCTCGGGACACAATTGTTCTGAGTCAGGGTAAGTAGATAAGGGGCCACAGGTTGAGCCCAGTGACTGTGGACTTCCTCACACCCGAGAGGCTGCTGTGGCCAGCCAGCCTGGGCCTCCCCTCCTCTCACTCCTGAGTGCATCGGCCTCCTGCGTCCCTAAGCCAGGGCTCGACCCACCCCCGCCAGTCTCAACCTCGGCCTCCTGTCCCCTCCAAACTTCTCCCCTCCTCCCCACTCACTACCCCCTCCAGAAACCTGCCCTGCCTGGGTCAGCCCTGCCCACCTCCCAGGCCCCCGGCCCTTCCAGAGGCCATCTTCAGCCTCGCCTCTGTGAGGATGGAGACAGGAGAGGGCCCGTGCGGGTTCCAGGAAGCGCCTCAAAGGGCAGGGGGAGGCGGGCCTGTGTGCCCAAGTGACTGAGCCCAGAGCCCTCTGTTGAGACAGTGGAGGCCAAGATGCAAATTCTCTGTGGGCCCCTTCTACTCTCCCTCCCTCCCTGGGGCAAGGAGCTTGCCTGGAAGATATGGAAGCCGATGGGGTGGAACTCGGTGTCACTGGGCCGGCAGTGCTGATGCAGAGTGATGCGGACGCAGCGGGGGCCAGGGCCCTCGGGGACCGAGAAGGGGAAGCAGGGGTTGGTGGGGTACGAGGCAAAGTTCCTGCTGCCCCCCGCCGTCTGGCCGGCTCTCCAGGAGCCCCGCAGCTGCACGGTCCCCCACTCCCCCGCAGGCAGGGCTGCTCCGGGGCTGGCGTTCTTGGCCACTGCCCTGATGGCGCTGCCAAGAAGACAACCATGGGAGGGCACTGGCAGCAGGTTCCCGGCAGCCTCAGTCCCCACATGGATACCTGCCAACCACAGAGGGGAAGTGCCCAAATCCTGCCTCGGAAGGGCCTGTGGTCCTCCAGAGGCTGTGGCTCGGAGAGCCAGCAGCACTGCACGGTTCCTCTCACCTAAGGGAGACTCGCCCGGTAGAGAAGACTCGGAGCAGGAACTCCCCTGGCGCGTCCTTCAGGAAGGTGCTGGGGACAGCCAGGTAGTAGCCCGGTGAGAGCTCGCAACGCAGGTGGACCTCCCGGTCATATGCGTGGCACGCAGTGCCAGCCACGGGGGGTGTGGAAAGGACCCTGGGCAGATTGACCCGCCGCTTCTCCACCTGTGAGCACAGGCAGGAGGCTCAGTGCAGACGAGAGGCCGGCGTCAGGTGCCCTGGCCTTGGCCTCCCTGCTCCAAGCACAACGGCCTCCGGAGTTAACAGACGAAAGCGCAAGGCCTGTCAGCATCCTCCACCCTCTCTCAGGGGCCAGCTAGAGATGCCCACCAATCCCGGGCTTCACTTGGCCCTGGGGCCAGTATCTGTCCCAGACACAAGCCTGCAAGTCCTCCCTTGTAGCTGGGCCCACAGAGGCACCGTGGCCCAGGCAACCTGGGGCTGCTGGACAGTGGGCCTTCCAGCAACTTCTTTTGCAAGAGGAAAGGAACACCATGTGGGCCACATCCATGAAGGAACAGGGAACAGTGTAGTGCCAAGTGTCACACCCTGTCAAGACACACAAGATGACATCCAGCCCCTAAGCAAGCAGCTGGCATATTCTCGACCCACACTCAGGCCCTTTGCTTCCAGGCGCCCCCATCTGTTCTTCCAGGAAACAGCGTATTTTGTGAACCAGCGGTTGGGCCTGGGACTGCCTGGGCCTCAGAGCAACCCCATGAGATCCATGTCAGGACCCTGTCTTGCAGGGGGAGAGACAGGGAGGCAGGGAGAGGATGTGTGCCAGGTCACACAGCAAGCTGCAGAGCTGAGACTGGCCCTGACAGGTCCTCAGCCGTTGGCTCTACCTCCTTGCCTCAGAAAGGCACAGCGCTGCCAGGAGTCCCCAGGCCCAAGCGCCTCCTGCGGGTCCTGCCCTGGCTGCAGACTCTGTTGCTTTCCTTTGGCCAATGAGGCACACGGCAAGGCAGAAAGACGCCTAGACCTGCAGTCTCAGGTCAGAGCCAGGTCTGGGAGCACCAGCAGATGTCAACCCCGTGCGACAATACAAGGATGGGGGAGACTGTTGGGGCCGGTGGCAGAGTCACACGTGTCCCAGCAGAGCCAGTCCTAGGACGAAGACCTCCATTGGCCTCCACACCACCTGCCCAACCGAGCGTGAGCCAGGCGGGGCTGAGTTACCTTCCAGAGGTGCAGGCCCACAGCCTGGTAGTGCTTGCCCGGGATGCTCGCTGGGCTCCACGAAGTATGACTGTCACCCACCAGTGCCCGGGCCCGGCCTGCCCAGTCCACTGCACGCAGCCTCGATCTCTGCAGGACGGCAATGTACACCTCACTCGGTTCTGAGACCCGCAGCCAGAATTTGGGGTTGCTGGGAAAGCCGCTGTTGTTCCGGCAGCCTCCTGCTGACTGCCCCTTGACCCAGGCCCCAGGCAGCGCCCGAGTGTGGCAGAGCAGCTTCCCTAGTGAGAAAACACCATGCATCAGCTGTGGGACATGGCTCCTCACTGGCCTCCCGCCGTGGTGGCCTCATGAACCCTGGCAGCGTCTAAGCAGCAGCTACGGCCACAGACAAAGCCAGCCCCTCCCACGAGCCCACTCTCCTCCCGGCTCCTGGGACAGAATCATCTCTCCACACTTGAAAGCAGCAAACCAGGAATGGGCAGGGGGAACCCGGGCACCTGCCCAGCCTCCTCACTTGGGCAGGCAGAGCACATGCCCAGCACGGCCCCTCGGGGCACTACCTGTGTAGAGGCTCTGCAGGTGGCCGGCCTCCGTGATTGGGTAGCCAATGGTGATCTCGTCAAACTCCCTGAGGAACTCTTCCTCCTCCACCCAGAACTCCCCTTCCTGGAGCTGGGACAGGAGCTCAGACGTTACCGCTGCATCTACCTGGCTCCACCCTTCACCCCTGGAAGAAACCTCATCTCAGCAGAAGCCCCTCCCGAGAACTGGTGGCGTCAGCTGGCCGGCAGGCTGGGGGGACACCTGGAGGGGACCCAGAGAGCCCTGAGTTCCTGCCAGCGCCCCCGCGCCCCAGCTCTGCGGCCCCTCCCACACCTGAAGCAGCTCTGCAGCTCTGCCCGGAGGCAGCGGCCACCCACGGGAGCCTCTTTTCCCAGAGGAGCTTCACGTCTCTGGACGTGTCTTCCCAGGACTGCTGCCTGAGCCCGTGATGACGTCTGCCCTATTGAAACCCCAGGTCCAAGGGCCACCTTGGTCCCAGGCCTCAAAAGGATTGTCTGGAGCCAAGACAAGCATGGTGTCACAAGAGCAGGGGCTCAGGGGCCTTGGTGGAGATAGCCAAGTACGGTCCTGACAGCTGAAGGTGACCAGGACACAGGCCAGATTGGTACTGGGCCCCCCTCCCGACAGCAGCACGGTCCAGGCCCCAGCACTCACCCCTCTCTCCAGAGCCCCTGCCAGCACCGCCGGCCCCAGGGGTTCTGGATCCGCAGCAGCAGGATGCTCTGGCCCGCCTGATCCTGCAACTCCCGCAGGTCCGAGACAATGAAGGCATGGAACTCCCCCAGCTCCCGAGCACCTGCGTGAGGAATGGCTCGGGCACGGGCACGAAGGGCACCATGGAGTCCCAAACTGACAAGGACACACGGGCCTCTGTCTCCTCTGGAGATGCTCCAGCCCACCCGACTACGGCTACATGGGAGACCCCAGATCCCCATGGACCACGGGAGCTCCTTTCTTAGCAGCTGTGGCCCGTCAGCTCAGGAGCATCTCCAGGAGCAAGCACACGGGACCTGACTTGGCTGCCATTCGGGTCCAGTGCTGGGTAAGTCATCCCCTTCTCTAGGCCTCAGTCATCGCCCGTACCCATCAGTGCACAGTGAGGCTGCCTATCCCAACCATTCCACAACAAATATAAACTGGCACAGCACCAGTTCTCAAACATAACGCACAGATGCATCTGCAACTGCCAAGAACCTAGAGTGTTTCTCTTGGCAAAGCCTGCTGGAGGTGGGACATTCACATAGTGCCTTGGCTAGAAGCCCACTGGAGGCAGGGAGGCCCAGGGGGGCAACAGCTCCACCTGGCCAGAGACCTTGAGACAGACGGGCATAGAAAAGAAAGAGCCAAACAGAGAGGGGCACCGCATCTGTGGCGGGGCAATGGTCTAGAGAGAAGGGTCTCCTGGAAGGACTTCAGTCTCACCCATGCTGCAGCCCCTTGCCACCTCAGCAGGCTCCAATGCACCTCCAGTCAGTGCCAGCTGCCATCTCTCTCTGCCTGGGGGCTTTCTCTAAAGTCTGAAGTGCTAGGACTTAGCCCTATCCCACCCTAGAGCAGCCCAAAACCAACAGCTCCCTGAGCTGATGCCCACAAGCCCAGGGCCCTCGCTCCCAGGTGGGAGGCTCTGAGGCCAGCATCCTTCCTGGCACCCCCGTGGGGCTGGTGGGGAGTACATGCCCTCCAGGTTCTCTGAACCTCTCAACGTGCTCCTGAACCCCATCTCAGGGTCTGCTTATGGGGGACCAGACCAAGGCCTATGACAATCTGTTGCAGTTTATTGTGATACTCATATTATTTAACCAATATTTTAAAAATAATCCTAAGTATGAAAAAAATTATAAAGATGTTCATTGATGTTATTTAGAATTATATAAAACCAGAAAGATCTTTTTTTTTTTTTTTTTTTTTTTTGAGATGGAATCTCGCTCTGTCACCCAGGCTGGAGTGCAGTGGCCGGATCTCAGCTCACTGCAAGCTCCGCCTCCCGGGTTTACGCCATTCTCCTGCCTCAGCCTCCCGAGTAGCTGGGACTACAGGCGCCCACCACCTCGCTGGGCTAGTTTTTTGTATTTTTTAGTAGAGACGGGGTTTCACCGTGTTAGCCAGGATGGTCTCAGTCTCCTGACCCCGTGATCCACCCGTTTTGGCCTCTCAAAGTGCTGGGATTACAGGTTTGAGCCACCACGCCCAGCCCAGAAAGATCTTAATATCCAACATCAGGGGAATGATTAAGAGACTATGGCAAACCCGCTCATGAGGCGAACATTTGACAGTGTGCGTGGCAGTGTGAGAAGTGGTGTGGAATGGAACGTGTAAACCACACGTGCTCACGGAAAACTGAGAGGGCACTCAAAAGTCACAAGTGGTTCTATCTGAGTGATTTTTTTTCTTCATTTTTTGTAGAGATGAGATCTTGCTATGTTGCCCAGGCGGGTCTCGAACTCCTGGGTTCCAGCGATACTCCCACCTCAGCCTCCCAAAGTTTTGAGATTACAGATGTGAGCAACCACACCTGGCCCCCTTCTTTTTTTGGAAACAAATTGTTTTTAATGAACGTATCTATCACTAAAATAAAAAACAGGTTTTGATTTTGCCAGGTTGCCAGCTGGGCCAAGGATGGCACAGACGGTGGGCTTTGACTCGGTGCCACCTCTTCCTGTCTTGCACTAGCGGAAAGTACTGGTCAGGGGAGAGAAGGGCCACGTCCCTCTGGAAGAGGACAGTAGGAGAAGGTCACAAAGTGAGGACACCACCCTTCTGAACAAGCTTACTTCTTCCCACTTAATCCTGACAGGGCTGTGGAGCCAGTCACATAAAAAGCTACAGCGTGCCTGAGGCCTGGCAGTGAGGAGCACGCCGGCTGCAGCCCTCCCGTGCTGGCCACGTGCCTCACCTGCTCTGGGGCTGAGCACGGAGCAGCTGATGAGACTCTGGTCCTTCAGGCGGAGCAGCTGCCGACAAGTCCTGTGCTCCCAGCGGCCCGGCCTGTCCTGCTGGCCTCCGCTTCCTGCTACGCCCTTCAGGCTCCATCTTTCTGCCAGGCCACCAGTCAGGTCCACCAGGGCATCCGCCACCTGCCCTGCCCACAAGTGCTCGTAGGACCCATGGACCCTAAGGGACACAATCACCACGGGAGTGAGCCCCTGGCATTGAGCGTGCCCTCCTCTCCGATTCCCATGGTCTGTAGCACCCCAAGTCGTCCAACCGCTGCCTCAATCCCACCTCTTTACGCCCCTCTGCCTTCGTCCTCATCCTTATCAAGTCAAGGCTTAGCCTCAGCTTCAAACGTCTTACTTTGTAGCAAGCATGAGCGCCCTGTAGTCCTCTGCCCACATATAGAAACTCTCTGGCCTCCGGTGTGGGCACAGGGGCAGGGCAGGAGGGGTGGAAGCTATGGATGCCCACATCCCTCGGCTCTCAAGCTCCAACCCTGCTTTTCCTAAACCAGCCCTTGGGATGGAAGGGCTCACTGGGCACTGATGTCACCGGCCAGCCTTCCCATGTTTGCCAGCTTCCCTGCCTGCCTGTTGGTCCAGTTGCCTTTGGCAAGATGATACATGCATTCTAAGAGGGAAGGCTATTCAATTACGACTCATGGTGAGGGTCCTGGTCCCCTGAGCCAGCACCATGATACACAAGTGTTGGTATGCCGGGGTAGCCTCATTCCTTCCCAATGACTACACAGTGAGGCTGCCTATCCCAACCATTCCACAACAAATATAAAGAAGCATCTTTCTTGCTGGGGCCGAGAAACCAAGGAGGGCGGTGCACATGCTCTCTGTGGAGGACGACTCCACGCTGGGCTTTGGAACAAGGGAAGGGAAAGATGGGAGTGGGCAAACCACAGGCCCAAAAGAAGAATCTCTGCACCTGGCCAGTCAGCCTGACCCACAGAACGAGCTGCCAGACCCTCAGAACGGAAGGGGGCCCTGCAGCCCAGAGTGAGCAGAGACCCTCCCAGGACAGCCCATGGTAGTGGCAGCTCCCCGACTTGCCCCAGGCCAGGCCCTCAGCCCCCAGCACACGCACTTGGCGTAGACCTTTTCCAGTAAGGGGAGCCAGAACACATCCTCCCTCTGGCAGCGGGAGAAACAGAGTCTCCCTGCAAGGCATGGCAGGCGGTCATCTGTGGTCACCTCCACCCAGCGTCCAAACTGCCAAATGCGACAGGTGAAGGAGCCCTGGTACTCCTGGTCGGCCCAGCTTGGCTGTCCTGGAGGAATGACCTGCCATGCACAGGGAGAAGCAAAAGACGAGCGTAACATAAGCACCACCCGGCGCTGCTCCAGTGTCCTGGCTGCGGTGTGGCCACAGCTGAGCGCTCCACAGGCACCACTGTCTGCAGAGAACTCTACGCACACCTGGATGTCGGCGCTTTCACAGGGCTCGGTCACCACACACGAAATTAACACACCTCTCATTGCAAAACTTGAGGACTACAACGAGGGAGGCACATATCCCAGGCCATGCTCTGCTGCCCTCACTAAAAGCATCTGACCTGAAGCCAAAACAAATATGACTTTCAAGGGTATGAGTGACCCAGTTCTTGACTGAGCTGACTGCAAGCAACATATCACCACAGGAACGGCAGCCCCCCCTGCTGCTGGGAGCCTGGCGCCCCAACACTGGGCCAGCTGGATGCAGCCACTGTGTCCGCCGCAGGGCTCCTTCAGGAGTAAGCATTCTGACCCCCAGCATCAGGGGGAGTGCAGGCGGGGCACTAGGCGCCTGGTACGGTCCTGGCTCTGCCACTTAATGGCCAGAAACACAACGGCAGTGGTTTTAGCACTCTCATTTAAAAACAAAAAAGGCCAAAGCTGGCAAGGCTGTGAGACTGAAAGCCAGTGACTGTGACATGCTTACCATGGGGCTTGGGACATGAGGGAAACTCTGAATGAGGTCACACTGTCAATGCCGCTGCATTAATCGGCAACGCTTACCAACAAGCCAAGCATAAAACTATGAACACTTCCAGGGAAGGAAAACCTGAGAAGGCCTTCTCTGCCCAGAGTATCTGTCTACCCACAGAAACAGGTTTAATAACCTTTTGCAAACTTATATTCAAAGCCTGTACGAAAACCAGTCAGTTAGCTGAGGAGAGATCTGGGGCAGAGTCCCCCAGCCAGCCCCGTCCTCCTGTGAGCTGGCACATTTGTCTCTCTCTTCTAAATGTGGTGATCTGACTCCATGGAGAGCCCAAGGCTCACGAGAGCACGCAGCAGGGTGAACCTCCCTAACGGAGCCCTCTGGCAAGGCGCCCCCTCCTGCAGCAGAGGGACAGAGTGCAGTCCTCAGTCTCTGCCTTGGAATGTTCCTGCTTTCCCCCAACACAGCGAGAGATCCGCCTGCGGCACGGCTCAGCTTTCGCAAGGGCTCCTGGTAGTCAGCAGGCAGGAGAAACACAAAGAGAAACCGGCTCCAGGACAAACACAAGGAAGAAGGGGCCCCACACCTGGTCCAGGAGGTGCCTGCTCTTCTGCAGGGCGGCACAGGCACACAGGAACCAGCAATCCCCCAGCAGCCCCTGCTTCACCTGCCCTTCCTGCGGGTCATCTGGAAACAACCGGGGCACGGCACAAATCTCCTGAAATACAGAAAGTTGTCCAGAGTTAGATCATGCCTGCTGGGGAGTCCTTCAAACTAAGAACCCAAGGCTCTAGATGACAGGGGTTGGGGTGGAGCTTTTCCGATCATCAGTGTTACCCAAAAGCGGACAGGAAGGTGGTTTCCTGCAGTGGGTGTCCTTCAGCTCCTGGCTTCAAATCCCCCTGTCCAGCTTAATTCTGGGGTGCCTGTCTGTCTTCCTTCCTTATTGGAAAAATCCCAAACTCTACCAAGCTCCTTCTCAAAACAGCTAAATGTTGGTTTAGAAAAGTTTCACTTTTCACTCATGCTGGTAAATCTCAAATGCATCCTCCATCCTGCTGGAAATCTTACTGTTTCTCTAGCAGGCTCCATTTACCATATCTCCTAACTATCATATACCTTCCCCTTTCTCCTCATCTACTCAAAACATCCACACTGCCCTTGCCCACCCCTCTGAGCTTCGACCTTGCCTCCTGCTTCTGAACCTGACCCTCTCTCCTGCCCTCAGAGCCTGGGCTCCTCTCACAACTCCTTCCCTTCCAGCTCCCCAGGCAGAATCCCACTCCCATGTTGTTTAAGACATTATCCCTCCTTCATATTCTCTTTCAGGCTTCTCTTCATTACAACCTTCTTGAAAGAGTTGCCATGCCCACTGCCCGCTTCCCATTCACTCTCCACGCAGGCTCCTCTAGCTTCTGAGACAATCATGGTCCCTAAACTGCCTCGATCAATGTCGCTGTCACCTCTATGTTATCAAACCCATTGGGCTTCTCTTGGTCCCAACTCTCTTTCCCAACTACTCAGCAGTATTCAGAACAGCAGAACGCCATCTGCTACCCCTGAGGCAGTCCCCACTCAGTTTCCGTGAGGCCGCATGCCCCCGGGTACCCTCTACCTCACTGCCTGCTGCTTCTCAAGTCTGTTTGTCAGGGCACCTGCCTGACCCCAAGAAATGTTACGGTTCCTCAAGGCTCAGTCCCAAGGTCTCCTTCTTCTTTACTGATACTCCCCCGAGACACTCTCCCAGGCTATGGACCATAAACCATCTAATATGGTCCACCTCCCAGATGAATATCTCTAGCGCAGATCTCCCTTCTCTGTATCCACCTGCCTCCAGGACAGCTCCACCTGAACACGTGAGAGCAAAGTCCAACTCTAGGTCCCCCCCAGGCTCTGTCCCAGGACCACCATCCACCCACTGGCTCAGGCCAGAAACCTAGAAGACATGCCGATTCCTCCACTATCCTCACCCTCTATTTCAATCAGTCACTGAGGCCTTTCAATTCCCACTGCAAAGTACGTCTCAAACCAATCTACTCCAAATCCACAACCTAACGGTCCTCAGGCTAATCTGAGCCCCTTCATCTTTCTCCAGGACCACTGCAATGGTCCCTTGCATTCTTGCTCCGACAATCCACTTCCCACCAGCAGCAAGAGTGAGTTCGTAAAAACACACATCCAAAAGAATCGCTCCTCTACTAAAACCCTCTAGTGGCCTCCAGCTGCACCTAAAATCAATCTTTTAACAAAATAAAACCCAAATTACAACGACAAGGCTCTACATGCTCTGACCCTTGCCTCCTCTCAGGCCCTTCAGTGTTGTCCAAGGAAACCAGGGGGCCTGTCAAAACCATCTCAGTCACCAGATCTCAGAAGTTCCAGCTCTGTTCGAAGACTGGTGGCCATTAGTTGTCTCCGCTAAGACTGTATCCTCTTAGGGCAAAGTTGCTCGCTGGGCAGTCTTATTCAGCAGATAAACCACTTCTAAAAATATGAACACGGCACTCGGCCAGGACATCCCTTGCAGCTGCCATTTTTAAGTGTTTACAACTGGAAAGGCAGGTGCACAAAATCCAAAACTGAAATTCTATCACGCTTTGCTTTGTGGGCTCGACCCAGCCGCTTCAGAGGGGCATGAGCGGCCCTCTCTGCCGGGAGGAGCAGACACAAACGCTCTTCAAGGCGGAAGCAAACAGGTGGGCTGGGTTTGGGACTCGGTTAAAACGCCTCTCGCTGAGCTCCGAGCCTCCTTCTGGATTGGAGCTCTCGCAGGTGGTGGCCACGACCTAGTCTAGTGTCCTTGGGGTAGCGCGGCGTCCTGCTCGTTCTGGGCGGGGGTAGGAAGGAGGTAAGAAAGAGGGGGCCGGGCGGCCACTTCTGAGGAGAACAACAGCGGATCCTGCGTTCGGAGCTACCCTGGCCGCCCGCCCCGCCCCGCTCCCTGAGAGGAGCGGAGTTCTCGGAAACCAGAAACGGCGCCCACCGCACCCCGCAACGTCCCACCTGGGGCCGCCTCCACGTGATGTCCTCGCGAAACTGGGCCAGCGGCGTAGACAAGTCGCAGAAGAGCGAGGAGTCCGCGGCGGGGAAGGCGGCGTCCCGGAACAGCTCCCTCGCCGGCGTCGCGCCCCGGCCCGCCCGCATCCTCGGCTCCTCGAGCTCCCATCTGCAGCCAGTAGCCTCGGGGTCGCAGCCCCGGAGAGAAGGCGAGTCCGCCGCCGCCGCCTCCGGCCCGTCCCGCCCGTTCCCCGCTCAGCCCAGCCCTCCAAACCCGAGGGCGGCGCAGGTGCTGGACCAGGCCAGGACGCCGGCCCGCTAGTCTCCCATTGGTAACCAGGCGGCAGCCAACCGGGCGCGGGGCCTCGGGTCACGTGACAGGCCGGCCCAATGGCACTCGGGCGACGGAAAGCGCCACGGACATCGGAGGCCCAGGGGGCGGGGTTCCCGAGCTCTGCTCTTACGAGGCTGGGCAGCTGCCCGCGCTGTAGTTTTTCCTTCCGGGGGCGGCGGAGCCCAGGGCTGTCCCGGCCTCCGCTCATACCCGGAGGGCCGGCAGGCGTTTAGCCCTCCAGCAGGTGTGGCTCGGGCCGGGGTGTCAGGACCGCCTGAACACGCGGGCTCTGGGAGCTTCAGGGACCAGGGAGGCACCTCGGCCGAGTTGCGTCGCAGACTACAGCTCCCAGCATGCAGCGCCGTTCCCAGCATGCACCTCCCTGCCGAAACGCGTCTCTGTTTCCGGCGCTCTGCTGCGGAGGCGGTGGCCGCGGGTAGTTGGGAGGAACCGCGGTTTGCGCGAGGGAAGGCGAGTAGCGAGCTGTCCAACGCCGGTCGAGTGCCTGCCGCCGTTGTCGTCAGGCAGGGGAGAAGGGGGCCTCAACCCCACTAGTGACAGCTGTTTGCTACCTAATAGGGCTTTTCGTCCCACCAGGCCCCGGGGCTCTGGTTAGGGGCCCAGCAGGCTCAACTTCTTGCTGTGGTTCTGGAAAGGGGAGTGACCACCTAGCCCAACACCTCTCTCTGTGATGTGTTTGGGAGTTTTGGGAAATGAGACGGCTCCGAGGGAAGAGCTTGAGGGAGCGGCGTCGCATTGGTTGGACCTTCCCGGGCCTGGGCTTTGTGTCTAGGCATTTTAGGTCGAACGCTCTACATCTTAACTGGGGTCAGGGCAGGCGGCCAGAGCATCCCGCTGAGCTTTTTCCGATCCCCAGATGGCCAGGCACCTGGTCCTGGTTGCTGGACAGTGACCCTGTGGACGCACATTTACAACTATAGCCACTCAGTGCCGCGGGGAGGTGAGGATAGTGATCCTGGGACCTGCTCGAGGATTCACCCTTGCCGCAAGAACCTGTTCCATTCCCAGGAATGAAGGCGGCCAGGCAGGGGAGGAGAAGGGGGCCTCAACTCTTCTAGTGACGGCAGTTTGCCACCTAATAGAGCTTTTCGGATTTTGCCTCCTCAGGCCGTTTTACCCAGCCTCGGGCTACGAAGGATGGTCACATTGAAGCTGTTTTTCTGCAGTCAGGAGTGAAAAGTCCCTGCTGTTGAAGGAGAAACTGAATCGGGTTCAGGAGTCCCAGGTTCCTCCCTCTGAGAAGCCAGGTGGGGCCTGCGTGAGTAGCAGTTAAGGTTGTAGGACACTGCTGTTTTCATCCCACCTGGCCCCAGGCCCCTGATTAGGGGCCCAGAGTGCTTATCTCCTTGCCTTGGTCTGGAAAAGGGAGTGACCACATAGCCCAGCACCTATGGGATGCTTCCTTGCCTATTCAGCACCCGCTATGGTGCTGACTCTTGCAGAAGAGGTTACTGATTCCTTGCTAGGCTGGTGGTTGCACCACAGCCGAGAGGACTCAAGAAGAGCCTGGTCTCTGCTTCACCTAGTGGTCCTGGAGGAGTAAGAAACATATCTTCCCTGTCCTGGGCACATGTGGGTGGGTAGCAGAGCTGAGGCTGGCCGAGGAGCTCGACTTTCCTTTGGGAGCCTTTTGTTGTGCCACTCTCCCAGGCCGATCAGATCTGGAGAGCTAACAGCTTTCTGTGGCCACATCTGTGTCCAAGGCTGGGCCCGTGCTGGTAGCCAGATTCCCAGGATCTGGAAGGGGCCAAGAGACAGCTGGTGCTGGGTAGGCAGCAGCCCTGTGTCAACCTGCCCCCACCATTACCCTATGCTGTGACTTGCATATGGTCTGCCCCTGCCCAAACTAGTATTGAAATTTGATCCCCAATGTGGCAGTGTTGGGAGGTGGTGCCTAGTAGGAGGAGTTTGGGTAATAGGGGTGGATCCCTCATGGATAGGTTGGTACCCTGTGTGAAGGGGTGAGTTCCCATGAGAGCTGGTTAGAGAGTCAGGCTTCCTGGGCTTGTCTCTTGCTTCCTGTCTCGCCATATTGCCACATAATCTCTGTGTGTGCCCCCGCCCCCTTCCACTTGGTGCCATGAGTTGAAGTAGCATGAGGCCCTCACCAGGTGCAGCGGCCCAATCTTGAAATTTCCACCAGAATTTTGAGCCAATTAAACCTGTTTTGCTTTTTTTAAAAAATAAATTACCCAACCTCAGGTATAGCAGCGTGAAACAGACTAAGACACTGCATATGCCCTGTGGTCCCGTCCACTACCCCAGGGTGCAGAGATGGTCCATCAGCCGTGAAGAACGACATTCCCCCCCCCGGGATATCTGGAGGGGCTGTAAGCAGCTTGGGTTGGTGAGATAAGAAGGGGTTTGGGGGGCAGCTGGTTCGTGATCCTGGCGGCCTCCACTGCAGGCTCTTGGTCTGAAGTATTGTAAAGTACGAGAGCCTCGGGGCCCTCACTTCAAGGAGGGAACAGCATCCCCATGCCTCAGTATTTGAGGATTGTAGGAAGATGAGAGTCCTTCAGGTGGGACTGGTTCCCACCATGACCCCACAGCTGGCCAGTGGACTGAAATACATCTGACCACTTATTTCTCAGGTTCATGGGTGTTGAGGAGGAGCCCTATAGAATCAGCCCTGTCTGCCTCCTCTCATCCTGTGCCTCCTCTCATCCTGCCACTCCTCTTGTTCTGTCTGGATGACTGCCCTTGTTTTTCAAGGGAATGTTCCCTGTCTTCCTCAGCCAGGATCTTTTCTGAACTTGACATCTCCATTTGTTCAGGGGGCAGTAATTGGGCACTTCACTGTGCTGGTCATTGCGTTCTCATGGAGATGCAGAGATTAAAAATTAGTATCTTGTCCATATACTGCCCAGAGTTAGAAAGGATTGCTCTTCTGTGGATTTGTCTCAGGTCCGGTACAGTGGGGGTAGGGTCCTTCTCCCTTTTCCTAGCCTAAAGGTTCCAGCTGAATCTTCCCAGGCAGGGCTGAAACAGGAACCATTTTAGTCTTTGCTGCACCCCATGGTCAGTTCTCCAAGAAAAGTGAAGAGGGTTCCACCTGGGACAGTCCTCAAGGACTCAGGGCCAAAACACACGTACAACATGTTGAGACACTGTGTTTGTGTGATCACACATCTCAGCAGTAGGTATTTCTGCCTCATTTTACTGATGAGGAACCTGAGCTTCAAAGGGAAGAGGTGACAGCTCAGGACCACACAGCTGTAGGTAGGAGGCAGGAAAATAGGGTCTGGGTGCAGGGAACATAGGCCGATTCACACTTAGTTATGACAGGAAATATCTTCTCCATAGGGCGTAGGACAATGACTTTGTAACTTCACCCTCTCCATCTACATAGTGCATACCCCAAGTAACCAATGGAATCATCTGGAGGGTATTTAAACTCCCAAAAATTCTATAACAGGGCTTTTGTGTGCCTGTGCTCAGGCCCGCTCCCACACTGTGGAGTGTACTTTCATTTTCAATAAATCCCTTCATTCCTTCTTTGCTCTCTTTGTGTGTTTTGTCCAATTCTTTATTCAAAACGCCAAGAACCTGGACATCCTCCACTGTTAACAGTAAGACACATCAACTCCTTAGAGTTGGGGCAGCCAGCATAAAACCATGCTGACCTCAGCCCGCTTCATTCACTGCAACATGAGGAATGGATTCTTTGTTGGCAATATTTTAGATTGAGCTTTTTTTCTCATAAGTATAATACATGCTTAGTAAATTAAACAGAGTGGGAATAAATAAATAGGGTACATGCTCCTTACAGGAATTTTTTTCCGAACTATTGGTATGAAGTGGTTTTGTGTTCTTCAATTTTATTATGAGGATTATGCAGATAATTTCCACAGTTGACTGGTTATCTGAGGTGAGCATATTTCAGATGTGGGCTATTTTCTGCATTGTGGGTGTTGTGTTCCCTCCACACTGGAATTTTTCTGTTTGCTCATTCATTTGGAACAAGGAGAGGTTTATTTGGGCCTGGCTGGATGGGTGGGTAGGTGGGAGTGATCTCCTTAGCACTCTGCCTGTGCCTGTTAAAAGCCCCTTAGATCTGTGCTGGGCCAGGCCACTCCGTGGACACCCTTGCCAAGCTCTACCTTTAGCTGGCATGTCTGACCAGGTGATTATTCGGAGAGATGGGGGAGGTGGGGAGACTAACAGCTGACATCAGATTCCTCTTAGTAAAAGGACAGTCTTTGTTGGTGAAAACACCGTAGTGGGTGCTTGGGTTAGAGCCCTGAGGGCATGGCTACCTGAGGTGGCTTAGCTTGCAGGGTGCAAAGGTCTGATGGGAAGGGAAGAGAGATGTGGGGGAGAAAATGGCTAAAGAAATGAGGCTGAGTTGTGGGGTTGGGGGAGATGAAGGGCCATGGAGGGGACCTCTGGAGGGTAGAATGCAGGCCATGTTGAGAATGAGGATGCCTTGATTGATTGGAACTTTTTTTTTTTTTTTTTACTCTCCACGACCTAATATCCCCAAGTTTATTTTCTGTTGCTATAACAATACCACAGACTGGATAATTTATAATGAAAATAAATTTATTTCTTATAGTTCTGGAGGCTGGGAGGAAGTCCAAGGTCGAGGGGCTGGCATCTGGTAAAGGCCTTCTTGCCACACCATTCCATGGGGGAAGATGAAAGAGCAAGACGACACACAAGCAAAAGACAGCTAAACTCATTTTTACAACACATGTTCATGATAATGAACCCACTCTGATAATGACATTAATCCATTCATGAAGGCAGAGACCTCATGGCCTAATCACTTAATGGTTCCACCTCTTAATACCATCACAATGGCAATTAAATTTCAACATGAATTTTGGAGGGAACATTCAAACCATAGCACTGTTCCACTGAGTTTTCATTTTTTAATAATTGCTTTTAAAAAAATTTCTGGGGTCTCTGGCTGGTTCTTTTTTATAAACTACCTGTTCTTGTTTCACAAGTTCCTCTTCCTATGTTATAGTTTATTTCAAAAGTCCCCTGTAGGTCTGAGATTTTGATTATATGTGTTCTAAAGTCCTTTTCTGATTTTTCTGTTGCCTCTGTCTCCTCAGGTTTGGGTTGAGTGGCCTGTTTTCCTTCACACTGTGTTGCTGTCCTGGGCAGGTGATTCCCAATTGTGCCTTACCTTTATACCTGAAGTTCCCTAGTGTTCTATGCAAAGCATCTGGCCTTAGGAGAGAAGCACCACCAATAAGTCCTAGTTAGAGTAGGGATGGCAGAGAAACACTCTGGGAGACAAGTCTGGACTGAATAGGTCATGGCCTGAGGGACTCAGAAAACGTTATTTGGACCTCCAGGGCCTAGGAATTTGTATGGGTCTCCCTCACTGCAGCCTCAGGCTTCAGTTCTCTAATCTGTCTCTGTAGAAACCAATCTTTCATCAAGCTTCTTTTCCCTTTTTGAACATCATCTCCTCCTACCTGCCTGGCTAGGCCTGAATCCCCAAAATGCAGATCTCTCTCACATTCTGGCCTCAGCTCTGTCATTGTCATTAGTGCTGTTTGCCATCTACCCCCACTTTTGTGCATGTGGTGGGGTTGCAGCCCCTGTGGTTGTAGGCCCTTCAGAACTTCCACTGCCAGTGTGAGCCCCTCAACAGCTCTCTCATCCCTGGCAAAGTGCCTGGAAACATTCGAGATCTCTATCCCATTGGTATAGGTCCCAGAGTGGTCACATTGAAGAGAATCCACCCTTCCCCTGCCAGCCTGAGGTGGGCCTGCAGCATTAGAAAGCTTTGTTGGGTGAGACGTCTGTGCCTCATAGTTGTCTAGCTGGAGCATAACTTGGCCTAATAGAGAAGCTGGCTGCTACAAGAGGGATGCTGTGCTAACAAAACATGTGACCTGCCAGGATTTGGAATGTTGGCAAGCTGTTAGGTGGGGCAAAACATTTGGTAAAGCTCAACGGTGATGACTCATAAGACAGATCGTGAGCTAAGTGTGCATGTCTAGTGGAGAGACTGGGAAACAACCCTGGCCTGAATATTGGCCAGAGGCTGCATTTGACAAGTGACTACAAGGAAGCGATGAGCTAAAAAAAAAATCTGCACCTGCAAGCTGGGAGGAAAAGGAATGAAGGCCAGGAACGCAAGGATTTGAGGCTGAAAGAGCCCTCCTGTGCACCCCACGGGCAGGTACAGAGCCAGGACAGATTGTGGCGAGGGTGCCATCCTGGATCCAGATGCCCTCCTACGCCCCAGGTTATGATGCTGGGCACTGCTGCTGAGTTTCCCAAAGGCAGGTGTCAGGCAGAGGTGCGCAGGTCAGCAGTGTCCGGAGGTGGTGCTGTGGGCGTGGCTGTAGGCACCTGGAATGGAGTCACCTGCAGACCAGAGTCATTTCGAGTTGAATTGCAAAAGAAGAGCCCGGATGAAAGTTTGTGACTAGTGGGACTTGAAAACAACCTTGGCGGGGAAGAGGCTGAGAAAGCAGTTCTGCCACTGAGGAGGGCTCCTTTGAGGACACCATCAAGCGTGGCCAAGAAGGAAACAGGAAAGGGGTCCTCGCGAGGCGGGAACCCCAGGCCACAGAGAGCACGACTTGGGGGAGTGGGGTGTCCACTCCCAGACAGGGGCCCTGGCTGTGCCTGCCTGGCAAGACTTCAGATGGCCATGGAGCAGGGACTGCCAGGTGCCCTCCACACCCACTTTCACAGGGGTTACTGCAGTCGTTCTATCCCTGGGTGTGAGGAGCTGTGACAGTCTTCTAGTTCCTAGGTCTTTGGATGGGGTGGCGCCTCCCCCAGCCCTGATGTGAAGGTGGTACGTGAAGCAACACATGCAGAGACGGCCCCAGACCCTAGACTGGAGTTGCTACCGCCACTGGAGGGGGATTCGTCTGCCCTGGGGAGGGGCGGGGCATCCAGAACAGGGAAGAGGGTGAGTGGGACATTTGGTGGCTGGGGACTGGATGGTGATGGTGTCAGGGTTATTTGCCCAACACCTCCTGCCCTCCCCACTTCCTGGCTGCCATGTGTGGAGTGGAGCTGTGACTGGGCCTGGCCAGTGGGTTGAGAGAAGAGGCGTGCTGCTTCTGGGCCACGGCATGTTGGCCAGGTGTGTGTGGCACTGAGATGGTGGCACCACATCCTTGGGGACTCTGAAAAGCAGCAACACCTATCGCCTGGGAAAATGGAAATCTCAATTCTCCAAAACCAAACATGCCTGTCACCTGGTACCCATCTTGGGACAGGATCACCACTTGAGGCTGGGATTTGGCTTAAGCCACAAAGGTGAAGGCCCAGAGTGAAGGTGACACATGGCCTCCCTGTGACATCCAGAGGCCACTCAGGCCCAGGAGGTCCGGCCAAGGGGCTGGGCAGGACTCGGGGAGCCTGCTCTCAGGCTTGTGTATCAGAGGAGGGGGCCACGCCCAGCTCCTGACCAGCTGCAGGTTCCAAGTCCTGGCAGGCCAGCCCACCCTACACAGCCGGGAAGATGCAGAGGACAAAAGTCGAGAGAAAGAGGGAGGGAGATCAGGTTTGCAGAGTGGAAGTTTTAATGGGACCATCACCGTGATACCCCATTGCAGCAGTCCCAGGCTGGAGCCCCAGGCCCCGTCCGCCTCTCCCAGCATGGTGGGCCTAGAGAGAGCACCAGCACCACCTCCCACTTTCCCTAGGGTATTGCTGTGCCCATGTGCCTCCCACCCCAGGAAGCCACAAGAGACAGGCTCCCCCACACTCCCCCTGGGTCCTGGGACTCCCTGTTCTGAGGGGCTAAGGTTGCCTGGGGCCAGGGGGCCCTCCCCAGGGACAACTGTCCTCTCCCTGTGTCCCCTGCCCCCACACTGAGGGAATGTCTGTGTCCTTGTTCCTCTGCCAGGGGCCAACTGAGGCTGCCAACCCCAGGGGCGGGGTGCAGGGCTGTGCGGGGAGGGTGGCTCAGATCCCTGCAAGGAAGCGTGCTGCAGGGACAGCACAGCCCGGGCCCCTGGCAGATGTAAGGCACAGTGTGGCGGTCACCGTAGGGCTGCTGGGGCCCTTGCCCCAGGGGCAGCACCTGGCAGGTGCTGGCATCCGGGGCTAGGCACAGCTGTCAGTGTTGAGACAGGAGGCATGGCGTGTGCGGGCTGGCCCCAGGGCCTGCAGTGCAAGAGAGCTGGGAGTGGGGAGGCCAGGTCCACAGGTCTCTGCCGGACACAAGGAGGTCCCTCTCCCCATTCTCCCTGCCTGGGAGAGCCCAGGGGAAGGGCTTGTGGGCCTGGGCAGAGCTCATGGCCAGAGCCATAGGCGCAGTCATGGCAGGCCTGGCCCACAGAAGGCACAATTGTGGTGTCTGGGAGGTCGAGGGTCAGCCCGCCAACAGGGCTAGGCAGACACATTGACGTCCCTGAGAGAGATGGCACTGCTGGGGGCCTCATCCCCAAGCAGCAGGGCCTGTGCGTCCGAGTCTGTGTCTGCTTCAGCCCTGCCCAGCTCCGTGCTGGGCTCTGGGGCAGGCTCTGTGCTAGAGCCCAGGCCCTGGGACAGGATCTGCTGGATGGCTCTGCGCAGGTTGGGGTGCAGCCGGCCCTGCGTCTGGTAGAAGACCTCCAGCGCGAAGGACTTGAGGGCACCGGTGCAGAGGTCCTCGTACAGCGGGATGGTGTACATGCGTGACATCTGCGGGAGGGTTACTCGGTCACACTGGTGGGCTCCCCAGGCCCCTCGAGCCAGCCCACCCTGCCAGACCGGCCAGGCGGCTCTCCTACCCCTGGCTCCCCAGTTTCATCATCAGGGCTGTGGCCTGGAATCTGGTGTCCAGGAGGCCTGCCATTAGCCTCTAACCTCCACCCCACCCTTCCAGGCCGACCATGGAGTCCCCATCTCCAGGGAGCCTGGGCTGGAGGAAGCACATACAGGGAACAGGGCAGCCAGGGCCCACGGGCCTGAGGGCTCTGGGTTCTCTCTGAAGAGGTTGGACATCCCCTCTGCCCAGACCTGGACGCTGAAGGCCCAGGGCCCAGCAGGCTGAGATGGCCTGGACGCCAGACTCCTGCTCCCAGCTGGTCCCTTCCACAGCTTCTCCAAGAACTGGTGGAGTCCAGGCTGCCCTCTGGCACCTGCACCCGGTGCATGCCCCCACTCCCAACAGACCCCTACGTCTTCCCCGCCCCATTCTCCAGAATGTGCCTGGCCTGCCCCAACAGCGCAGACTAGGGAGTCGGGTGGGACTCCCACTCCGCATGGCTAGGCCGTTCCAGGCTGCTCCCCTGGGCAGGTGGCTGCACCTGGCTCTCCAGGAAGCGCCGCACCCTGTGGAGGTCGGGATAGTAGTCGTTGCGGACCACGATCTGTAGCCAGCGGATGCGGATCTCAGCGTTCATGGAGTCCAGCAGGGAGGAGTAGCACTTGGACAGGCTCATCACCACCTCTGCAGGGCAGGGGGCAGGGCAGGGCTGAGCTGCTGTTGCACCCCGGCCCCTGGGCCACCCCCATCAGCTGCAAGGACCCACCCTGTGGCAGCGGGGACCCATCCAGGAGCCGGTCCAGGAAGAGTGCTGTCTGGAAGGTCCTCCACTTGGAGATGTCAATGGCACTGGCTGAGGCAGCTGCCTGGTCCAGGGGTTCTGCGGTCCACAGCTGGAAAAGGGCCTCCACGGGGCGGGTCAGGCTGGATCCCTGAGACAGGTCCGGCTCAGCCAGCGGCGGGCCTGTGGCATTGAGCCAGCGCTCGAATTCCAGCCCTGGAGGGGAGAAGTGACCCTGGGGTCCCTGCCCGGGCTGGGGAGGGGCTGCCTGAGCAATCTGCCCAGGAGACCCCAGACCCTGAGTGTGTCCCAGGCAGGCGGCCTGTTCCAGGGACATGGGCCGTTCAGGAAGGCGGGGTCAGCTGCAGCCAGCACTGCCACTTGAAGCCACTGAAGGGGCTTCTGTGAAGGGGTACAGGGAGGCAGAGGCTTCGGTTGGTGACCCAACCATGCCTCTCCTGGGTGGAAGACAATGAAGTAGTCTAAACCCAACCTCAGTGCTGGCAGAGGCCACCTGCGCCATGAGCCAGCAGGGGCGGGATGGGGGCAACAGGCTCTTAAGATGATGTTCCTGCTCTAAACGGGCAGTGCCCATCCCCTACCCACAAAAAGCTCTTGGTGCACTTGCTGTACCTTCCAAAACTTGGTGTCACCATGCACAGCCCTCCCAGTGGCACCTCACCACCCTCCAGCAATTCTGGCCTCTCCCTCAATGTCTGAACCCTGCAGTGCATTCCTGGGCCCCAAAGCCCTCAGACCCTCAGGGACACCCTTAGAAGTGATGCATAAGCAGGGCTGGCTGCTGTTTTCCAGCTCCAGGACACCCCCATCACCCGTCCTTCCTGCACCAGGCCCTTTGCACACCTGGTTTCCATGGCCCACTTCCTGGGGGTGCCTAACTCGGCCCACTTAGCCGTGTGCCACCGCCCCCTGGCAGGTCCCCAACCCCAGCCCTGTTCTCATAGCATACCGGCCTGGGGCCCATATGGTCCAGCAAGGGTCTACTGAAGGACAGACAGTGAACTGACGGGCCTTTCCTCCAGGCGGAGCGGCCTCTCAGGCAGCAGAGGCCCCGCCTGTCATCACACCCACAGCTCCCTGACTGCAGCAGTGGGGTCAGCCTCACCTGCCCGGCAGTCCACGCTCTGCTCCTTCAGCTCCGGGAAGAAGCTCAGGAAGGAGTCCAGCAGGTCCTGGGCCACCACACTGGTGAACTTGTACTTCTCCACGTAGGCCTGTGTGGCAGAGGTGGGGCCTCAGCAGGCCTGGAAGGGCGGGGCACAGGCAGCCCCACGAGAGGCCTGCAGGGTACTGCAGGGCATGCGCCGAGGTACGTGCTGGACACAGGGCAGGCGCAGAGGCAGCTAGTAGGCATTGCGGAGCCAGCATTTGGCACACAGGCCCTGCCAAGTGACCAAACGGAGGGTGGGAGAAGGGAAGGTGGCAACCCAGGCACTCCCCACAAAGAAAGGCAGACTAGGTCCCAGCCAGGCTCACAGGCCCCTGCCAATTCCACCCCAACTGCCAGAAGAGCAGGCAGCCCTGTGAGCTGGGGAGGGGCTGGGGGCAGGTGGCAGCAGGGCCGTCCTGGGCACGGGGCTGCTCACTCGGAGAAAGTCATCAAAGCGCTGTGGGTCTCCGCAGAGCTGGGACAGGTAGTACACGAAGCAGTAGCCCTTCTCGTAGGTGAACAGGTTCATCAGGTGGCTGGGATTCACTCCTGCAAGGTGAACACCCACCTGGGCTGGCGTCCGAGACCACCAGTGTCCCATGGGACAGGGAGGGGCGGTGGTCAGGCTCCGAGGAGCAGGAAGGGCTGAGGGCCACAGTCCCTCACATGTCCAGATGTGTACTGACGCCCTGGGCACCCCTCGGGGAAGACTGAGGACTCACACGCCACTGTGACCGGTGCTCAGAGCCAGGGAGGTGGCGGTGGCTGTGGGAGCCTGGGGAGGCCTTGCCCAGACGAGGGGCTCTCAGCTTGGCCTTGGCAGGGGTCCAGGCACAGTAGGGGACAGAGAAGCCACAGCCAGCACACACGAAGGACAGGCAAGGAGGCCTTGAGGGGTGACATCCCCGGTTCCAGGAGCGGGTCCTGAGGAGCAGGTACCTGGCTCCAGCTTGACCTGCAGTTTGCTGACCGGGCTGTCCTCTCCCAGAAGCTTCATCTGCCGGTGCAGGGCATCCAGGCGGAAGGCAGTCTCCAGGCAGGTGAAGGCAGCACCTGGATGGGGTCCGGAGACAGGGGAGAGGTGAGGGGGTGTAGGGGGAGTCGGGGGAAGCAGGGGGTGTGGGCACCTGCAGCATGGCAGGGGAGCCAGGCTGGGCTTTCTGCCCCGGCTCAGTGCCCAGGGCCCCCAGTGGCTGCCCTCCCCGGCCCCGGCCGCACCGTAGGTCTCGGTGGTGATGCGGCGCTGGGCATAGGTGGCCAGGCCTTCGCTCAGCCACATCTCTTCCCACGTGGCGTTGGTGACAGCATTGCCGAACCAGCTGTGGGCCACCTCATGGATGACATCGATGACCAGGAACTCATCGCTCTCCAGGATGGAGGAGATGATGAAGGTGAGGCAGGGGTTCTCCATGGCCACGATGGGGAAGGAGGGGGGCAGGAAGACAATGTCGTACCTGCACCGGGAGGGCAGTGAGGGTGGCAGACCTCAGGGCTCAGATTCCCACCCCGCACACCCACACCCCACCTTCCACCCAGCGGGGATCAGCCCCGCCCCTGCAGTGAGCTCCGCTTCCTCCCCAGGAGATGGGGACAGGACACCCCAGGGGTCAGACGAGGGGCTCCCCCTCTGACTCCTCCTTCCAGTCAGCCAGGTCTACAGGTCCCCGGGGCCTACCTGCCCCACATGTACGGCCCATACAGCCGCTCAGCTGCACTCAGCCACTGCTCCACTGCGCCCGACAACTTGCTGGTGGCTGTGGGTAGGAGGCACGGCTCGGCCCACACGCGGCTTCTGTTGCATGCAGAGAGGGTCAGCTGAGGCCGAGCAGCCCCAGCCCGGCTCACCCCAAAAGGCTCTCCCACTGCCCTGGGGCTCCAGTAACACCCACACCTCATCCAGCCTGGCTGACCACCCTAGCCCGCAGCCTGCCCTGCCTCACTGGGTGGGCAGCTACCCTGGCCCCTCCCACAGCAGGGGCAGAGCTGCATTCTAGGGGCCACTTAGCTCGTTTTATGTCTGGGTTGAAGGCACCAATGAAGGTGTGAGGGTGCCAGGCTGTGCGGGGGCCTTGGCAGGAAGGACCAGTTTGCAGGGCAGGCACTGGGTGGGCCAGGCTGCTGGGTCTGAGGGCACATGGGTGGGAAGGCCTGGCAGACAGGGCCCTGGCAGTGGCACCAAGGCTGGGGCAGGGCTGGCCCAGAGCACCCAGAGGTCAGTGGGGGTCCTCAGCGGGGCAGCTGTGGACACAGGTCACAGATCCCCAGTGGGGCTCTCCCTGAGGCCTGGGCAGCCCGGAAGGCCCTCCCTACCTGGGCCCGATGTCTGCTGGCTTGAGGTCTCCGGCCACCAGGGCCACGAGGTAGGCGGGCACGGGATGTTCCATGTGGAAGTGGAAGACGCCTTCCTCCTCCATGTACGCACTCCGGGTGGCACTCATCAGCACCTGCACCCCCGACGGCGCCTGTAAGGAGGCCAGACTGAGACCAGGAGGCCCCACCGTCAACACACCCACAGCCCAGGCCAGGGAGCCTGTCAGGCTGCCCCACATTTGTAGCAGGAAACCCTACATCCCCATCAGGGAACGTTTCTGTCAGAGAACTTTTCTCCAAAGACCTGCCACCCTCCACTCGGAACCCCGAGCTCCCAGCCTGCAAACCTCATCCCAGTGCAGAGGGTGCTACCAAGCTCAGGCCCGGTGACCTATAGACCCCACCAGAGATCAGCAGCTCTGTCTGGAGACCCCTTGTCTGGGGCCCCTACAATCCCTCACCCTGGGTCCAGGACCCTGAACCCCTCAGGCCCGTTGGAGGCAGCCCAGCTTCCCCTGTTCCCTGCAAAGCAGCTCCTCCCATAGAGTAGGGAAGGTGGACTCCTGCTAGCACTGTGGCGTGCTGGCAGCTGGGGCCACAGTCCAGGCAGGTAGGAGCAAGGGGGAGGCGGTGTGGCCAGGCTGCTGGGCTGTCCTGGGAGCAAGGTGATGGCAGCTGGTGGCCCCTGACCTTGACGACGGCAGAGTAGGTGCACTTCACGGCAGGCGTGTCAAAGCACGGGAAGAAGGAGCGGTTGCACACGGAGTGGCCCTGGGTGAAGACGAAGGGCTTGGCGCAGCCATAGGTCAGCTCTGGGTCCAGCCACCAGATCTGCGGGCAGGATGGCACATCAGCAGACGGCCACCCAGCTGGGGTGCTGGGCCCTAGCCACTGGGCAGCAGCCTGAGAGAAGGCAGGAGGCTCTGGGAGGCGACGATGGCTGGATTATCTTGCTGAGTTCATCGAGCGCCAATAGCCACCCCCTAGCCTTCACTTGCCTGCCGGGGCAGGGGGACATCGCGGGCAGGTGACCCAGGGTGTGGCCTGCACTGTGTCATCAGGGCCAGACCCCAACCCAGGCAGGAGGCCCTGTGTCATGGAACCGACAGGGGAATCTCCCAGCTAACACCAGGGCGAAGAAAGGGAATAGCCCATCATTGCATTATCTTAGCTTCCTTAGGGAAACTAAGGCAAAGTCGGAACACACTCAGTCCAAATTCCCAGCAGCTCATCTGGTCATGGCAGGAAAGGGAGCCTGGGATGTGGAAGCTGGGAAGCCAGAGCCTCCTGATGGCTACACACTGGCAGGCAGCACACCCGAGCCCAGAGCCGCCCTGAGCCCAGGCAGCCTCGCCTGGAGGGACCCCGCAGGAGACAGGCTCCAGGCCAGGGAATGGCAAGCAGGGAGTGGAGGCCAGGCCAGAGGCCCCTGCTGGCAGGGGACAGCAGTGGCTAAGGGAAGGATGGCCGGGGCCACTGCCTGGAGGCTGGGGGCTGCGGTGAGTGCTGTGGAATGGGTGTGCTCACAGCAGCTGCTGCCCACCTAAGGTCATGCCCTGGCAAACCTCTCATCTGCGCCATAGCTGCTGAGGCTTTCCTCACCCCGAGATGCTGAGGCCAGGCCCCAGCCCCACTGAGAAGCCCGCACCCCTGGGCCCTCCTGCCACTATCCTGCCGCACCCATCTCATCTTCCTTCCAAGAATTCTGACCTCTCCAATGAGGGCAGCTCAGAGTCTGGGAGGGGGACCCTCTCCCAACCACAGCCACATTACCTTCGTCCCGAGTCAGCCCTGCACGCTGTCCCCACCCTCCCCTCTGCCGGAATGAGATTGTCAAGGCAAACTGAATTGCTTCTCATGCACGGGCCCTCCCAAGACCATGAGTGGGAGACGCCCCCAACACCTTCTGAGAGTGGACAAGTGGAATCCACAGCTGATGGCCACTGATGGCCCGGAGGATCTCAGACCAGGAGGGCTGCCTCCCCTGCAGACCCAGCCAGACCCCTGCCAGCACTCTCAGATCTCTTCCAAACTTCCTGTTGGTGCCCTGGCCCTGCCCCAGCCGGGCACAGGCGGCTTTTCGTTCCTGCTAAGCCCTGGGCTGCCAGGGTGTTCAGGACCCACCTGGGGAGCCATTCACAAATGCAGCCTCTCCCTTGGGGGTGCTGGGACCTGGGAATTGGTATGAAGGAACCTCACTGCAGGAGTCTCCTCAAGGCCAGGGAGAAGCCCATCCCTCAGTTCTCACCTGTCATACTGAGAGGCATACTTGCCACCTGTCAGAGCCCTGGAATACCACAGCAGGGGTGGAGCTGGCTGGCCAGCGGCCTGCACACCCACAGGGGTTCTGGGAGGAAGGTGAGGTGGCAGGTCCTGCTTAGGGCTCCTGGGAAATGTACAGGAAGCCCACAGGGGTGCACTGGTCTGGGTTCTTCCTGCCCAGATGTCACCTTGGCTCTTTGTGGCTTGACGCCTCTCCACCACCCTATTTATGTGCCTTGATCAGTGACAGCTGGACTTCCCAGCACCTCCACAGCTGTGTGTGTGCTGCATATGTTGGGTGTCACATGTGTGCCATCCATACCACCTGGGGATGCAGTATGAACCCCCATGCTGTAGGCAGGAAAGGCCCTGCTCCATCCTGTACACACCCCCACTGGTGGAGATGGAGGGGGTGCTGCAGCCACAGCGCCAGCCTGAGCCACCTGGCCTTTCTTGCAGAGCCTCTAGAGTGGTGGGTACCCAGTGTGCAAGCCCTGCAGAGCCTATGTGTGTCTATGTTGGGGTCGCGGGGCCCACTGGCCTCAACACTCCACCAGTGCTGGCCAAGGGAGCCCCAAACCGAGCATCACAACCACCCCCCTCCCATGGCCCTTTCCTCTGCCTCTGGCTTGGACACATCTGCAGGCCCTGGTCACATGGAGGCCCTTCCGCAGCTGACACTCCAGCCCTACCCTCGGTGCCAGGATCCTGCAGATGTACACCTTGGTGGGTGACAGAAGCTGCTCATGTCCCCAGGCAGGGACCGAACACTTGAACGGGAGGCTTCCCTGAGTGACATGCTGTCCGGTGTCCCCGAAGGACTCCGGCCTCTATGCAAAGGTCCTAAGGGCTCACAGGCAACAGCTGGGAATCACCGGGGTGAGGGGAGGGGGGCACCTGTAGGGCACAGATTCGCGTCTCTCAGCCTGGTCGTGCGGCGAGAGGCCGCTAGCAGCGCCCTGCGGACCGGCCCGCAGCCCCGGCGCCCGCCCCGGACTCACGGCGGGGGCGTCGGTCGAGGTGTAGCGCAGGATAACCTGGAAGGGCTGGTGCGCCTGCAGCTCGGGCGGCAGCGTGACGGTGAGCGAGGAGCCGTAGTCGGTGAACGGGTCCACCCTGAAGGCCAGCGGGCAGCAGGCAGGCTCGGCGCCGGGCGCCTCGGGGAAGGCGGGCAGCGGGGGCGGCGGCGCGGGACCCGGCCCGGGGGCGGAGAAGGCGAAGGCGCAGGGCGTCTCGGCGGCGGCGGGGGCGCGACGGAAGGCGGCCGAATGCAGGCGCAGGGCCGGGTGCGCGTCGAGCACGAGCGCGCGGGGCGCGGGCCGCAGCGCGCACAGCTCGAGCACCAGGCAGCCGGCCAGCTCGCGCGCTTCGGGCCGCAGCTCCAGGCCCAGCTGCAGGTGGCGGAGGCGGAAGAGCTGCGCGCTGGAGGCCGAGGCCACGTCCAGGGCGGGCGGCGGCTCGGGCGGCGGGCGGACGGGCGCGGTCTCGGCGCCGGGCGCCTGGCGGCAGCAGCACTGCGCGGCCATGGCCGCCGGCACTAGGTGAAATCCATGGGCGGCGGCCGCGCCGGGCCGCGGGCAGCGGGCTAGGGGCGCCGGGCGGGGCGGCGGGGCCCGCGGGCAACAACAGGAAGTCCGCCGGGATCCGCCCGGCCCGCCCGCGCCGTCCGTGCGCCGCCACCCTCGCCTCCCGCTCCGGCGCGCCGGGGGCGCTGTGCGCGGGGCCGGGGCGCGGGACCGGGGCGCCGGGCGGGGAGGGCCGGGAGCCAGGGGCGCGGGGAGCCGGGGAATCGAGCGCGGCGCGGGGCCGGGGCGCTGTGTTGGGAGCCGAGGTGCGCGGAGCGGCTGAGCAGCACCCCCAGCCCCTCGCTCCCTCCCCAGGCGGCGCCCGGGAGATCCCTGGAGGCGGGATCGCTGCTCCCTCCCGGACACTGCCGGCCAGGCCCCGGGGGCAGCCGCTGAAGGGACCTGGGAACCTTGGGGCCACCGGGGCAGGCTGCTTCCAGGTGTGGTTCGTGCTCCCGAGGAGCGCAGCGTCGCGAACTCAATGTCATCCTTCCATCCGGGGCTACGGGCAAGGCAGGATTCTCCTGGCGCCCCTGCCACTCCCCCAAGTCTACCGGTGTGGTCTGTGCTGTGGGTCCTGCGGTGCGAGGAGCTCCGGAGCCTTCACGCCGCGCTGTCAACTACAGCACCCACCAACCACGTGTGGCCATTTAGATGCGAATTAAATACAGTTAGAAGTTCAGTTCCTTGGTGGCAGGTGGAGCGAGTGAGTGTGTGTGTCTTGCTGGGAGGAGTGGCTAATGGACAAAGCAGGCAGGAATCATTTCCACAATCGCAGAAGTTCCTCTGGGCAGCGCTGGGGACCTCTCATTAGAAGCCCTGTGCTGGGGTACGAACGAGGGCTTGGCCTGCCTGTCCCCACCCCATCCGCCAGGTCCACCCTTCCCAACGCTATTCTCTGCGGACCTGGCGAAGGCTGCCCAAGGCGGAGCCTGAGCCCCGAGGGAAGGGCTACTTGCCTGGCAGAAGCTGCTAGTGAGCTCCTAGCGGGTGAATTTTGAGGCTGTGGAATAACAGGAGCCACCATGATGTCGCTGTTGTCATCAAGTAAGAATTCAAATTCCTACGGACAAGGGGCTTCTGGGGCTGGGGAACTATGCAGGAACCCAGGACACCGCTCTCCTCTGCTGCACTGAGGTGTGGCAGTGCAGGGCTGGACTCGGGTACCGCACTTGACTCAGCGTCAGCCCTGAGTAGCGTTTCCTGTGTCTGGACTCAGCCTCCCCGATATGTAACCCTCCGTGTCTACCCTCCTTCCCTGGGGCGGGAAGGAAGGCTGAGAGGGAGAGTGTGTTCACGTTTGCGGGACAGAGCACTGAGGCATCATTTCACTTTTTCCATAGGACCTCAGGTCCCCACGTGCCCTCTTCAGGGACACGGTCACGATCTTGGGGCACCCATCCCAAACTCACCAGCAGCCCCTAGGCTTACACAGTCACTCAGAGGTGTGGATCAGCTTTGCATCCAAGGCTGACGGGGAAGACAACGGGGATGGGACCCTCCTCACTGCCCCCAGCGCCCTGCCCGGTGGGGCCCTGCAGTGCCAAGGGCATACTGTTTTCGAGGGCACCCCCAGTTCTACAGGCTCTCCAGAGCCCACCGGGCCATGTACCTGGCTGGAAGAACCTCAGTTCTGCACACGCGGTGCCACACTAGCTGGGCCTGGCCGCCCGGGGGGCAAGTCACCACAGGGAGCTTGGGGGCTTGCCACCCTAAGCCCCGCACTGGACTCAGGGAGCAGAGGTTGGGGTCTTGCCCTGGGCACCTCTCCCCGGCCAGTTCTGCACACAGGAGTCTAGAGTTGCTGTGGCACCTCCTCCCTGGGGGTCCACAAGTGTGCTCCGAACGCTTATGCCAGGAGCTGCCCTACTGCACCCCACGGTGCGGGAGGCGCGGCTGGGCCGAGAGGGCGGGGTCTGCAATTGCGCTGCGGGCACCTCTCGCACCGGCCCCGCCCCGCCCGAGGAGGCCCCGCCCCCGCCTGCCTGGCATCCCCTGGCGGCGGGAGGCTGCGCCGCAGCCAGGCCGGGGCAGGCACCTCTGATTTCTCTAACCCAGGAAGAGGAGCCTGGATGTCGGGACTGTCAGCCCTGGGTTTCTCCCACAGGAATTTTCATATTCCAGCTTTTTGGTGATCAGCGCAATGAAGTGGCTGCGCGGCATCTGCACCCCAGTCTTCCCCTGATGCGCCTGAGGGAGGGCTCCCTGGCTTCACCCACTAGGAGGTGGGTGTGGGCATGGAGGGTTCCAGCGGGCTAGGGAGGGCAGCAAAGCTTCTAGGAAAAAGCAGTGTTCAGACGGGGCCGCGTCCTCCCCAGACAGAGGACCAGGGAGCTACCAGTTCTCAGACGGAGCTGGTGGGCTAAAAAGGTCTGATGTGTCCCACAGATGTCCTTCAACCTGGCCGGGGCCCTGCTGCCCTTGTCCTCTTGTCACCAGGGCCAGGTCAGCAGGTAAAGGGTGTGCCCTGCCCTGAGGCAAGGGTAGCCGAGGTTTTCATCAGGGTGCTGTGAGCAGGGCTGAGCCGCAGGGGAACCGCAGGCCCAGGTCCTCCCCCCTCTCCAAGCCAGGGTTCCTCACCTGCTAGTGGAGACTGGCAACTGCTTCCTTCCGGCTGTTGAAAAGGTTGCATGAGTCATTAGGGGCTTATCTAGAGAGGCCAGCGGCAGGCAAGCCCTCCACAGAGATGGGGGCTGCCCCGGGCACCAGCTTATGATGGGGGCCGTGGTACACAGCGATGGGTGGTGCTGACTGGTGACACTGGGCATAGAGGGTCAGCGACCGACAAGGTGTGGCCCAAGCTTGAGGTCCAGGTGCACAAGGCGTGGGGAGAAGGCCCTTCTCACTGCCACCCCCACGCCTGGCTCACAAAGTCGTGCTTCCCATCCCCCCAGCTTTGGGCTCTGCTGCATCAGAGCTGGTGGGTCCCCAGGTGGGATGCTTTTGCTTAGGAACACAACCGGGTCTCACTGGGAGGGTGGCTCAGACACGGCCCAGCCACGGAAGCATGAGACAACACAGGACTGGCTCTGGCAGGTGGGCATGAGGCTTCGTGAGGCTTGGGGGCCAGGAAGAGTGGTGCCTCCTACTTCTCTCTGGTGGTGCAGTACAGGTAACAGAGGCCACAGCACCTGTGTGGGCAGCCACGCAGGGCCTGGGGCCTTAAAAATTAAGGATCAAGTCACGCCACCAGGTGAAGGCCACAAGCAGCTTAGGCACTGGCTGAGGGTAGAACATGGAACGAGTATTGGAAAAGGCAGATAAGCGCCAACCACAGTATTTTACTCATTGCCACATACAGAATATACATACATGTATGTGTATATATTAACCAATGACTACATTATCTGTGAATCACATGTATTACACACATTTTCCTTTTCTCTCCCCACTCTTATTTAAGGAGTGTTGATTCTAGGATAGTCTTTAGGCCACAGGATGTCCAGGAGAGGTTGTGTCTGAACTAGAGAAGGAATCAACATGCTCGGATGCCTCCAGTGGTGGCTTATGGGGCTCCACCCTCCCAAGGCGGGAGAGGCAGCCTTTGCGGGCTTGACAGTAGCTATGTGACTTTAGGTTGGGGTGCAATGTTGGTGAAACAGGTCAAAGTAGGAGAGGGGTGCAGATGCTGAAAGCCCCCCAGGTTCCCTCACCGGGCCGTCCGTCAGTACAGCCTCCTTCTCCCCTGCCTGTCACAGTAGGGGCTTCCCATGTGCGGTGCCAAGATGTGACCAGTGAGCGGTCCGGGAGGTGGGAGGAAGGAGATGCCCTGTGGCTTCAGCAGCTGGTGGGCAGGAGGCTCTGCTGGCACCTCCAGAGCCAGGACATCAGGCAGTGAGGATCTGGGTGGCAGGTCCCTGTGACTCCCCTGTGTCCCATCTCCTGTCCTTGGCTCCCCAGCCTTCTCCCTGCATTCAGTTTCTTTCCGCCCACAGTTCCATAAGTGGTTTAGATTTTCCTTACCAAGGCTTGTTTAATAAGCTGAGGTGACCACAGGGAGAGGACGGAGCACGTGGTGGTGCAGGGGTCTGTGCAGTCTGATGCACAGACCCCTGCCCCACCATCAAGAGGGGACAGAGACCCTCTTGAGCTGCATTTCAGGAAGATGGAGCTTAACTGCGAAAAATGAAAACTCAGTGTGGAGGCAGGTGCACTGGGCGGCCATGGTGCAGCGGGACCATGGAGCTCGGAGGTCACTGCCAGCAAGACCGCAGACTGGGCCCTTCAGCCCGCCACGGAGGTGGAGGATTCTCTTGTGGAGAAAGCAGTAGGAAGGATGGAAAACCACACTTCCTAGAGAGGCGTCTGGAGCAGTTTTAGTTTTGATTGCTGTTATTACTACTGATAACTGAGCAAAAGTGGTGATGATGCTCGAGAGAAATTTCTGCAACCCATAGTCAACAATTATATGTACAGTCAAGTACAGTGTCATTTCTCCCTCAATTTTTGAATCTGCAGCTGCCAATGCTTTCTTATTACTTTATTGCAGCAAATTCCAGATGTGTCTCCAACGGGAAATATACAACCCTCTTACCTGTGACGATTATTCTTATGATTTCAGGCATTAAAGAGGTTATACATTATAAATGACATGCAGACAGAATAGTTAAGGAACACAAGACTGTTACGACAGGATTCACGGCACATGATTAAGTGGAAAGAGGTGAATGTGGTGACACTGTGAAGGCCTCGAACGGGGAGCTCCTTCCTGCAGACACAGTCTTGATGTGTTCCAGTGAGCCTCAGTCGATGTGTTTATATAGCAACATCTAATCTGGACAGAGACAAATGTAAGACATGGCAGGCTTTGCCAGAAACAGCTGAAATGCAAACAGAAAACCAGCTGTTAGACCTATCTGGAAAAACAGACTGTGAAGCACCTGATCATCATTTCAATAGCTGAGCTGCGGCCTAAGTGGTAAAAGCCCTGGTCCAGTTGGGCCTGACCAGGTCTTGTTAAGAGGTAAACAGCTTAGAAATGCTCAGTAGACTGACTGGGCGCGGTGGCTCACGCCTGTAATCCCAGCACTTTAGGAGGCTGAGGCGGGCAGATCACGAGGTCAGGAGATCATAGACCATCCTGGCTAACACAGTGAAACTCCGTCTCTACTAAAAATACAAAAAAATTAGCCGTGCGTAGTGGTGGGTGCCTGTAGTCCCAGCTACTCAGGAGGTTGAGGCAGAAGAATGGCATGAAGCCAGGAGGTGGAGCTTGCAGTGAGCCGAGATGGCGCTACTGCACTCCAGCCTAGTTGACAAAGTGAGACTGTCTCAAGAAAAAAAAAAAAAAAAAGGCTCAGTGGATCACTGGCATAGCTGTTTACACTGGATTTGAAACCAAATTCCTGCAGAATTCTGTCAAATCACCTCGAGATCAGAAAGTGACAATGTGTGGGTCTCCCTTTGGTTCCTGCTGCTCTGGTCATGTCCATGGTGAGCTGTGTGGGAGCCATGCTATGGAATAAAAAGTATGGTGACATTTGGTACCTGAAAGAAGATTCCAGCTCACAGCATTGTATTTGACATACTGGTGTTCATCATTGTATAACAGAACCTTATCCCCATTAGTCTGCTGGTCACTATGGAAATTGTGAAATATATTCAGGCCCAGTTTATAAACTAGGATCACAATGTTGGTGAAACAGGTCAAAGTAGGAGAGGGTGTCCACACTATGGTCAGCACATTCAATCTCAGTGAAGAACTTGAGCAGGTAAAATATCTATTTTCTGATAAAATGGGAACGCTCACTTGCAATATTAAGAGATTTAAGAAGTATACCACTGCAGGTGTAATTTATGGTGCAACACCTTCTTCCATCCAAGCCCTGACATTTTAATGACCACGATTTATTTGAGAACATTGAGAATGGCCATCCCACAGAAAACTATATAGAACAATTTCTTACCCTGTTATCTGCATGCCACACTGTTATCCCTGAGAGAGATGGAAATATGTAATCTACCAGGCTTCCTCCCCAGATGAAGCAGCTTTAGTGAAAGGAGCAAAAAAACTTGGCTTTGTTTTCACTACAGGAACACCATACTCTGTCACCATAGAAGCTATGGGAGAAAAATTCGCTTTTGAAATTCTTAATGTTCTGGAGTTCTCTAGTAATAGAAAAAGGAGGCCAGGCACGGTGGCTCACGCCTGTAATCCCAGCACTTTGGGAGGCCGAGGTGGGTGGATCACGAGGTCAGGAGATTGAGACCATCCAGGCTAACCCCGTCTCTACTAAAAATACAAAAAACTAGCCGGGTGTGGTGGCACATGCCTGTAGTTCCAGCTACTCGGGAGGCTGAGGTAGGAGAATGGCGTGAACCCGGGAGGCGGAGGTTGCAGTGAGCCGGGATTGCACCACTGCACTGCAGCCTGGGCAAGGGAGACTCCGTCTCAAACAAAAAAAAAAAAAAAAAAGAAAGAAAGAAAAGGGATGTCTGTAATTGTCCGAACTCCTATAGGACGGCTCCAGCTCTATTGCAGAGGGGCTGGTGAAGAGAATATTTCCCCAATCCCCCAAGTTGCCCTTCAACAATGTCTTCCTCAACAGCGCTGTAGCTCTAAATGTCTCACGTGGGTATGCATTTTCTCAAACAGAAGCATCTGTGGTCAGGCAGGAAGAACTAGTCCATTCTTATGACACTACTAAAAATAAACGCAAGAAGAGTTGCTTTTCCTGATTTCACCTATGACTCAGATTCTGATGACTGTAGTCTGTACTCATGTCCTTCACTGAGACTGGTAGAATGCGCTGGCACTCCCAAACACTCAAGATTCTGGGGTATAAATAATGGAGGACCCCTATTTGCTTTTTCTTAATTTGTCTTCAGTGTTTTACCAAATGTGTTTCTTTTTGTGTCTGTAAGATAATTTGTTCATCAGCTCAGCCAGAAACATAAAATTAAAAGCACTGTTTCACACACACACAAAAAGGAAAACTCGATGTGACAGTGAGGAAGGAGGGTAAAGACCAGCCTCCAGTATCAGTGCAGGAACATCCTTCCTCCAGGCAGTAGGCCTTCAAGCTTCAAGCTTCAAGCCTCAGGGCCCAACCCTAAGGCTGGGGGCTCTCCCTGCAGGCAGGACTGTGCCTGCAGGGCCTCCTCATACTTCTGGAGCTGAAACCAGAAGCCCGGGTTGGGTTCCGCTACCGGGCGAGCGCTCTTCACCATCTGCAAACAAGAAGTGCGTTGAATAACCCCAAGTCGCCCTAATGGCCAGAAAGTGCCAAAGCGGGCCCTGTTCTAAGAGTGGGCCCCGCCCAACCCGGAAGTGCCTCTCCGCTTCCCTAAGCCCGCCCTTACGAGAGAGACCCGCCCCTCCCGGAAGTACCTCTCCCAATCCCGAAGCCCGCCACGCCCGGAAAACCCGTCCCCGGAAGACACGCCCCTCTCGAAACACCGGCCCCCTGAAGGCCCGCCCACCTGGAAAGCCTGCGCCAGGCTGAGGCCTCGGTGCCTCATAAGGTAGGCGGTGCAGACGGCGGCCGAGCGGCTGCGGCCGTTTTTGCAGTACACTAGGCAGGCGCCGCCGCCGCGCACCGCGGCCTCCATGGCTGCGCACGTGGGCTCCAGGTGCGCCAGCAGGTCCTCTGCCGGGTCGTCGAACACGGGCACGCGCAGCTCTGCCACGCCGGGTGCGCGCGGGCCGGGCTGCTGGCGGGAGACGTTGACGCACAGCGTGACTCCCGCGCGCGCCAGCTGCTCCTCCGCGCCCGCGGCGCGCGCGCTCCCGAGGAAGAGCGAGGGCGCGACGCGCACGAACGGCGGCGGCACTGGCGAGGCGGTCACGCGGCGTCCCGCGTCTCCCGGCCCCATGGCGCCCGACGAAGAGTCTGCTTGGGGCTCGGGCGCCCGCCCTGAGGATCTATTTTTGGGGCTCAGGCACCCACCCAGGAGTCTATTTGTGGGAGCTGGGCGGGCCGCCGGGCGCCCCCGGGTCCTAGAGGCCTCCGAGGTGGACCAGGCCGGGACTCGGGCCTCCCGTGGGCGCCTGGCCGGGGCAGGGGGCTTGAGCCTCGTGGGGGCCGGGGCATGGCAGAAGGCTTGGGCCTCGCCAGGGCTCCGGCGCCTTGGACCGCTCTGCGTCCCCTGCTCGCTGTCCTCAGGCTCCGTCCTCCCTGCCCCGGCGGCCTGCGGTACTGGGCTCGCGCCTGCGCCGAGCGGCGTCCCTGTCCGCTCCACTGCGGTGCCTGGCGCGGAGGCGTGGCTCGCCGGGGCCTGCCCACTGCGTGCCCCCGTCGTTCGGCTAGGGCCCCGTGGTTGCCCCGTGCCTGTGGACGGCGAGCTGCGTGGTTCCCGTGTGTTTTCCCTTTCCCTAGTGACTGCGTTGTCGGCTTTACGTTTATTCCTTTTTGTGACCCGCTTTGTAACTGGTGCATTTTTTTCTGTGTATTGTAACACATGGCTCATAAAACTGATTTCTGTTTTCATGACTTCTTCATAGACCACAATATTCCTTTTGCTCTATCTCAGTAATTTATTGGGGTCAGCATTGTAACTTTAAACAATTTAATATCACTTAATGACCATTAAGTTGCCATTTAAGATCCCTTCAATTTTTCTGACGTCTGGTAATTTTCAGGGAATGGATACAGTGAAAAGCAACTGTCTCACAGCCCTGCAGACATTTAGCGATTGAAGTCTCAGTTTTAGAAGTCTCTCTCGGGGTTATCTTCATTGCTTTGTTCCATCAGCCATCTAGCATTGGTAACTGTCAGATCTTTATTGCAGCCTGGGGTTCACTCTTGAGCTAAAGACTCATATATGTCTGCAGCCAGGTCTTCACTGGTTGCAGCTCCAGACATCACCTTCGTGCAGGTCTTAACAGCATCTATTTCCCACTTCCTCCACCCTAAGGAAGGACTCCAGCTTTCCTGGGATGGAGAAGGAGTGGAATTCCCTTCTTTTCCCCATAGTTCATGGGAGCCATTGATTAGGTTGGGACACTGTTTCCCTCCACCTTCTAGGAGTTGGCCCTATCTCTGGCCAAAAGTAAAGGCCACACTCCTGTGACTGCTCTGGAAATGGGCTTGGTGTCTAATAACCCATGGAGGAGAGAGCACTTTGGTAGGCTCCTCTGTTCTCTCATGACCATAAGGGGAAGCCAGCCTTGGGTGAAAGCAGAGGAGATGGGAGAGCCAAGGTCCTTGATGCCTTGGACCTTGGACTGTTGGGCCACTTAAATGAATCAAACAAAACCTGAAGTCCCTCCTTGTGGACTGATTCATGAATCATCACCCTTTATGGTTGGAGGATGGTTGAGGTGGGTTTTCTGCTCCAAAGCCTGCTACTTGAACCATCATGCTCCCACACCATTGAGCTAATGGATTGGGAACCAATTCTTCCTAAATGTCTCTGCACCTCATTGCCACACACAGTCTGGGCCAGCCTCTGTCTCCTGGACTTGGTGCTAGTCCCCCACAGCGTAACCAGAACGTACTTGCTAAGAACGGAGCGTTTCTACATGTTGGTTCTGACTCCTTAGCAAGTTGTAATTCACAACTAATGTGAGTTGTGAAATCAATTCTGTGGGTCATGATAAGCATTTTAGTTTTTAGAGAAATAGTAGACTACATGAAAATATTGGAGTGCATGCATGTAGTATTGTGAACTTTTAATGAAACAGTTTTGGTCGTGGTATGAGATTTTACTGTAGAGAGAAGTGAACTCAGAGACAGGCACTGGCATGTGGAGGCAGTGCCCCTAGAACCCCAGAATCCTGGCCCAGCCTTAGTCCCTGGAAAGTTAGTGGGGATGGCCAGGGCATCGGCTCTTCACACACCCTCCCCTGTTCTCAGAGGCAGTCTGTGTTGAGAAACGCAAGCCCTGCCCCTCCAAGAGCCTCTCCTCTCTTTCCAGGAAGGCCCAGCTGTTTCCCACCGTGGTGCCTCTGTACATCCCAGTCCAGTTCCTGAAATGCGCTCTGTAGCCTGGAGAGCTCCTGTGCATCCTGCGAAGCCCCATCAGGAATCCTCTCTCCCGCAAGCCTTCCCCAAGACCTTTGGTCCAAGACAGCCAATCCCTTTTCTCTGCGGTGACTCCTGCGGCCTCCCTCATCTCGTTCCCTCCGCAGGCCTCCAGCTCCCCTTGCGCCCTCCACATTTACCGAATGGACAAAGGCTGGGGCTGGAATCAGGCAGGGCTCGATCAAGCTGTGGCTCCACGTGCCAGGTGATCAGGGCAAGTTAACACTTGGGCCTTAGTTTCCTCAGGTGTCCCACGGCGCTCCCCGTGCCGCCTTCACGGGAGTGTTGGGGGAATTTAGCGCTTTCTCTACCAGGGGCACTCAGCCCAGGGGCTGACCGGGTCAGCGGGAGGCTGGGACCCAGGCCGGGCTGGCGGCCCGGACCTGAGCCGCTGAAGTCACAGAGGGCGGGCACGCCCGTGGGCGGGGCCGGGTGCGTCCTGGCGCGGGGATTGGTGGAGCCGGAGAGTGGCCGCGGGCACGGGGCGGGGCTGTCTCCAGGGAAACGCGACGCTTTCCGGAGGCGCAGGGCTGGCGAGTAGTCGGGGCGGGAGCGCTGGCGTCCGCTGCGGCTGCGGTCTCGTCGGTCTCCGTGCTGTCCGACGCGAGCTCTCCGAGCCTTGCTTGGTGCGGTCCCGCGGCAGGGGCGCTGGGAGCCGGGGCTAGGGGGATCCCGGAGCTCGGTGAGGCGGCGGGTGGGGGCCAGGCTCGCCGTCCTCACCCCGGGGAGGGGCCGAAGGGCTGGGGGTGTGGGGTTAGGTGGGCGCGGCGTCTCCCGAGCCCACCCTCGAGCACTGGCTTCCGAGGCCCGTTGGCTGAGACCCGCTGTAAGTGGCGCTCCTTGGACGATAGTGGGCGCGGGCCACGTGACGGCGACCGCCCTTGCTGTGATTCCCGCCCACGAAGGGACAGGGACACCTGGGGACGCGGGCGAAGTTTGCCCATGGTTCGGACTGGCCTCCCTGAGGACTCCCAGGGATGGTGGCCCGGGGCCGGTGGGTGGCGGCCCAGGCTCCGGCGCGGTTCGGGGAGGGTCTTGGGTTCTCTGAGGCTCAGGGGCTGCGGGCGGGGCCTCGGGCGCTCTCCGAGTTCCCGGCGGGAGCCCTGGGGGCAAATGTGCGGTCCTGACGTTGCTTCCAGGTTGGAAGACCACAGACATGGAAGGGGGCCGTGCCTCCTTTAGCTTAGACCACGAAGTCTCCGGGGCTGCCAGCCCCCAACGCCCGCTGGAGGGGAAGGGCGGCGAGACCTCTGCTGCCGAGGAGCTGGGGCCGCTGGAGAATTACGCTGTCTTCGCCACAAGGTGCGGGGGACCCTCTGGCAGGGAGGTCCGACCCTGACCTGGGGCCTGGGGTTAGCGGGGATTCTCCTTCAGGCAAGCAGTAAAAATCGCTGAACTGTGTTACTCCCTGAGGAACTAGTTTCTGGAGAAATCCGAAAGCCCCAACGCTGTATCAGCAGCCACTGAGGGAAACGACAATAGATGGTAATGGGAACCTTCTCCTGTCCCTGCCTGCACACTCTGCCACCCGTGTCGCCGCCTAGTGGACGGAGGGAACGTTTCCCTCGCGAGATGGGGCTCCCGAGTTGCCCCCATCTTCACAGCTCTGTCGTTCGCAGCAAGGGCTGCTTTGAGCCAGGGGCTGCCCCGGAGCCTCACTGCAGCATCTCACGAGGTCCCTGTCACTCCATCGTGCTTGTCCCTGTTTGTGGGCCTCCAAAACTCAGTCCCAGCCCTGGCCCAGTGTGATGGGTATTGAGGACCAGCCTCAACACCACCCGTAGGGTACCCAAAGTCTGGTGGGGACAAAGGATTGAAAAGAGACAGGTTAAGAGTTGAAAGGTGGGGAGCCAGGGGGCCAGTTGCAAAATGGAGGCCGCAAAAGGCTCAGAGCTCTGGTCTCCACCCTATTTATTGAGTACAGTCACTTAGATCTGAGAAGCAGATGTTCAGGGCAAAACAGTAAAAGGGTGGCAGTGCATCATACGCATAATCGATAGCAGTAGCGGTTTAAATGAATCTCCTTTGTGCTCAAACAACGTATCTTTAACTTACTGGAGAGTAGCTAGTGGGAGCGGGCTTAACTAGGAGCCTGCACGTCTGTCCACATTCCAGTGCTTCAAAGGAGTGTCTTTCTCCTTGAACACCATGTTTACAGATAAAAGACCGGATCTTGCTCTGAGCATGGGAACATGATGGCAATTAGGAGGCTTTCCTCCTCAGAGGCCTCTTGTGGCTTTCCACAACTTATTGTCCCATATTTTCATGGCCAGTTTATACAGGCACCCCACAAGCCCTTTTCCCACAAGCCCTTTTCCCAACAATGGACTTTGGGAGGTGGCTGGGTTTAGATGGAGTGGTGAGGATGGAGCCCATGATGGGATGAGTGTACCTACGAGAAGCGGAAGAGCCCAGAGTTCCCCCATCCTCTCTCACTACCATATGGGGAGCCAATGAGAAGGCAGCTCCACAGACCAGGAAGAGGACCCTCCCTAGGCAGGGACACTGCCGGCACCTTGGCCAGGGACTTTGGCCCTGCACAGCTGAGAACGGAAGGCCCTTTGAGATGCCCCGTCCATCTGTGGGGGTCTCAGGTGCTCCATCCATCTTTCATGGTCTGAGGCACCCCGTCCACCTGTGCTGGTCTGGGACGCCCTGTCCTTCTGTAGGGGTCTGAGACACCCCATCCATCTGTGGTGGTCTCAGGCGCTGTCTGTCTGGTGGTCTGAGGCACCACGTCTTTGGTGGTCTGAGATGCCCCGTCTGTCTTTGGTGGTCTGAGACACCTTGTCCATTTGTGGGGGATCTGACATGCCCCATCCGTCTGTGGATGCCCTGTGAGTTATGGCAAATCCACCCTGGTTTGTGCTCCCCTGCATTGCAACATACTCCCCAACCCTGCATCCATCCATCTGTCCACCCATCCACCTGTCCGTCTTAGTATGAGCTGGCTGCCTCTCAAGATGCCTTCCGACCTTCCATGGGTCCACTTGTATGGGCAGTCTGCTTTCTGTCCAGCTTGGGGCTGGCACTGCTGGCCCTTGAATGAGGACCCTGCTGTGGGCACTCATGTCCTGCAGGCAGCTGGAGTGGGACAGAGGGCCGTCGATCTCAGGAGATGCTGCCAGGCCCATCGGCCTGTCCAGCCCAGGCCTGCTGGCAGCATCTCCCCTATCCGTTGGCAGCCTTAGTATGCATTCCACTTCCTTTGTGACCTTAGGCCATCGCTGTACCCTCTGTGCCTTGATTTTCTCTCCCATGGAGTGGGGATGCAGCAGCACCTATCCCAGGGCTGTAGGATGAAATGAGATGCTGATGCTGAGTTGTGCTCAGGGGTTGTGCTCAGCACTCACTGAAGGCACTGCAGCCATCTTGCTTTTCCCTCCCTCTGCTCCTGTCCTTTCAGGGATGTTTCAGCATCCTCTGAGAAGGAAGAGGAGGAATCTGAGGGCCCGCTGAGGGCGCAGGACCTGAAGGAGGCCTACATCCAGCTCGTCCAGGGTGTGCAGGAGTGGCAGGATGGCTGCATGTACCGAGGGGAGTTTGGGCTGAACATGAAGCTTGGATATGGCGAATTCTCTTGGCCCACAGGCGAGGTAACTGCTTCCACACTTTCTCCGACTCCTCGCCCAGAGCCTCTGGTGGCTGGCCTTTCTCCTTCCAGGAGTGATGGGACAGGAACTTTTAGTCCCATCAGTAGGAAGGATGCTAGGCTAAAGTCTTTCCTTCTTGAGAAATGTCCAGAGAAAAGCATCTTTCCCAGCTTCCAGAATCACACCCATGGTTTGCTAGGGTCCGCAGGATGAGGTTTGGGAAGCTGTGACGTAAGAAGGTAAGTTCTTATTCTGGGCAAACGTTTTAAAATTATGAATTACCATAGCAACTCGTATGTTTACCTTGGTGAAACTGCCTGTGTCTAGGCTTAAGCAGAAGGCAGCGAATGTTCTAAAAGACAAAATGAGAACAAGTTTTGCACCCCCAGGCTAGGTCCTGAGCCCACATTCAATGCAGCTGAAACTGAAAAGGCCTCTGTTGGCGCTTGTAATGGAAAGTGCAGGGGTGAGGTAGCCTCAGGCCTGCCTGGATCCAGGGTTCTAATGATCTAACTAGGCCTTCTCTCTTTCCATTTCCATGACGGGGTTCTAAGACTGACCTTGTTCCATCTGCCCAGCTCCTGGGGGTGGCATCAAACACCCCTGGGATAGAGAAAGGCCCCAGCAGGATGCTGGTCTGGCTTGGGGATGCATGAACTGGTTAAATCCATCAAGGGTGGGGCAAGGGTAAGACATCCTCTGGATGGCCAGGCCTGGTCCAGGCTCTGGGGCTGGGTCCCTTGGGGAATCCTCTCTGTAGGGAGAGGGTATCTGTTGTCAGAAGAAAGGGAAGGGACACTAAGCTGTGAAAACTGCCATGCCCTGCACGTCGGGGTCAAGTCTGGGTGGACTGTGAGCATGATGGCTGTGTGTGCACTCCTGGCCATCCTGTTTCTGAGAAAAAGGTGGTGCCTGGCACTCAGCATGAGGGTCTCCTGGCTGGAAACCCTTGTCATGAATGTCACATTCTGTTTCCCTCCGGGGACCTTGGTAGAGGGGTAGTCTCTGACACACTCACCCCTGTTGTTTGTGGAGCTCACGTGTCCAACCAGTGATGAAGAGGTATAAATCAGATTCCTGCCCTGTGCCCACCGGGGCCCAAAGCCAACCTCCAGGGCCAGCCTGTCACCTGTGAACCTGGCAGGGAGCTCAGCAGCTTGGGGCTCCTGAGTAGGGACAGGACCCCCCAAACTTAAGGTCAAGGTCACCAGGAGAAGACAGGTCTGTGCTCTCAGACTCAGGACGTCTGGGCAGTTTTAAGCCTCCCCACAGTCCCCCACCTGAGGAGAAGACAGAGAGGGAGCCTGGCTGTCGGGCTGACTGCCTGGTAATCCCTCTGGGTGCTTCAGGTGCCAACTCTAATAGTTGCACCCCTGAGTTCTGCCACAGCCCCGGGTGGTCCCCATTCATTGCCAACCAGGCATGATGGCTTGGCCTTGAGGGCATCCCATCAGGTTCTGGAAGAGCAGCAATTTCTCACCAACTTCTCCATCTCACAGTCATACCATGGGCAGTTTTACCGGGACCACTGCCATGGCCTGGGTACCTACATGTGGCCAGATGGCTCCAGTTTCACGGGCACATTTTACCTCAGCCACCGGGAAGGCTACGGCACCATGTACATGAAGACACGGCTCTTCCAGGTGAGGGGGCTGCCATGTGCTCGGTTGGGGGCAAAGCAGCTGTGTGTGTCTAGGCCACTGGACAAAAAGATATTTAGGTCCTGGGGAAGTTTATTTAACTACAAGCAGCTTTTTTACTTTTAATGATTAAAATGGTACCAATAATAAGGGTATAGATAGAAAATAAAAGCCTCCTCGTATTTTACTCCCCAGAGGGATACTAGCAAATCGTTATATATTCTTTAAAGAAATGCACGTGTTTGTTTTTAAATATGTAAACTGGATCACTGTACACATAATGTTTGAAATGTGCCTTTTTAAATGGATAACACGCCTAGTCTTTCAAATACAGATATGTTTTCCCCCTTTTATTACAGTATAATTTATAGTAAAATTCACCCGTTTTAATATATAGTTCTGAAAGTTTTGACAATTATGGGGTTGTGAAACTACTTCTGCAGTCAGGATATAAAAAGTTCCATCACCCCCAAAATATTGCCATGGCCTTTGTAATAAATGTCTCCTCCCAACAAACTGTGGCTGATCTTATTTTGGCCTAGAATTTTGCCCTTGAGAGAATGCCATATTAATGGTGTCAACAGAAAAAAACAAACTCTGCAAAATATTTTAGAGAGGTTTATTCTGAGCCAATATGAGTGGCTGTTACTGAAACACCAGGGGTTCGCTCTAGGTCTTTCTGCTTCCTGCACAGAAAGCCAATCACTGAGACAATGAGTATTGCCAAGGAAGAAGGCTGTAATTGGCAGGTGCCGCTGAAGAGATGGGAGCTCAATCTCAAATCCATCTCCCTGACTAAAAGTAGGGGTTTATATAGCAAGGAAAAAATGGAAAAATGTGTGAGAAAGCAGGAACTTGGGATAGGCAAGGAAGCAATCATGGTGAACAAAGGGCCTGGAATCACATTGAATGCCATGGTCTGGTGAGTTTTAGTTCATTGATACTTTTTGAGACTGCGTTTCAGCTCTTTGATACTTTTTGAGAGTCCTGAAGGTCTTCCTGAGGAAGGAACTCAGATAAAACAAATTTAAGTTTCAAGCTTTAAGACCAGAAGGGTCAATTTTTATGTTTATCTGGAAACAACTCTCTGTAGGATTACTGGGCTGTTGTTTCAGTCCCGCCTTTTTATTTATCAGTTCCTCAAATGGGGAATCAGGTCGTGGATCTTTCTGGCTGCTCCATGCTGAGGAGAGGCATTGTGAGCAGCTCCATACCATGGGTGACCATGTGGTCACTTAGGAATCAAAGGTTAATATAGAGTTTTCTTCTAAAAGACCATCTTTCTCTTTCCATTCCCCCACTTGCATCAAAGACAAATCACAGTAGGACAACCTACTTGCAAAATAAGCATCAGTTTTCTAGTGCCCTGATTACCCACACAAAGTGCAGCAAGAACCATGGTTCACATAGGCTATCCTGAACTGGCTTCACTGGAACCTCTCACAAGGCCATTTCAGTCAAAGCCTTGGGAAAATAACCTCCAACTGTGTCCCATTATAAAATAAAACAGATTCTTATTAAACATATGCAAACTAACACTTTGCCATGAATTAAGAATATTCACAAATAGTTTAAAAATTCTGGAAAAATTAGGCAGAGAGAGAAATATGACTCAAATTTTGTTTACAAATGTATACTCAGTACACTTAAAGTATATTTCAAGGTTATAAATAGCTCAAAAGAAAAAATTATCCTGACTCAAAGACAAAAGAAGAATCAGCAATATTTCAAAAAGAAAAAACATAAAAAGTATTACAGTCCTCCATTAGCTCACTCCATGCAATCAACTGCTCTCCATCATATTGGATTAGCAATGTGTATGAACACATCAGCCTTCCAATTAGTGCAGTGGAAGTTTTCTGTGTCATCCAATGGCACAATCTCCAAAGTTATCAGAAACCTGAATTCCATAGTCCTTTTCATGAACTCTCCCAAAGAAGCAAGCCCTGGATGGTAGCTGATTATAAGTGACTTTTTGAGAAAGATCAAAGCAAAACAACAATTGTGGATGACAGAAGTCTTAAGGCAGCCATAGTCAAAGACACAGATGACAAGGAAATTGTTCATTTGTGTTGTATAACAATTTAACATAATAATAACATAATAATCATTAACTATTACAACATATATTTAGACATATTAGAATTTCAAGAAAGTCATAAATCCTGGAACATGTATTAATAACATATGTATATAAATATAACCCAAAGAAAGTTAAATCCTACCTCACAATTTACAGTGCTTCCTGTGTAATTCTAATATAACAAATAAGCCTAATATGTCTCTCTTGGACTTCAGGAAGCCTAGTATCCAAAAAAAGTTAATTTAAGAACAAAAATACTGAATTTAGAACTTGAAAATTTGCTGCTGAAAAGCCTGTTTAAGGTTTAAGACACTTGATGTCACAAAATAGGATCACAAGTTACTATAACACAGGTATTTAGCCACAATTATAATACAAAAACATTTTCTCGATAGCATACTCAGTTTCCTGAACAATAAGACCTAAACAAAAGACAGTATGACCTATAATGTCAGCACTTTGGGATGCCAAGGCGGGTGGATCACTTGAGGTTAGGAGTTTGAGACCAGCCTGGCCAACCTGGAGAAACCCGTCTTTACTAAAAATACAAAAATTAGCTAGGCGTAGTGGCACATGCCTGTAATCCCAGCTACTTGGAAGGCTGAGGCACGGGAATCACTGGAACCCAGGAGACAGAGGTTGCAGTGAGCTGAGACTGTGTCACTGCACACCATCCTGAGTGACAAAGTGAGACTCTGTCTCAAAAAAACCAAAAACAAACAAACAAACAAAAACCCCACAGCATGAGACCAACTAAATCTGTCTCCCTCGCTCCCTCTATTTTTTATTCTGTAGTTTTATTCAAAAGGTAAACAAAAATCTCATCTCTTACATGAAAAAATTTTCAGAAGAGAAAACCATATTTTACCTTTGTATGGTGTATTATTAATGTTAAAGTTAATTTTAATAAAGCCTTATAAACAAATCTAATTTTAATCAGTTTAACCATAAGGTAAGATTTCTATATACTTTTTGTAATCTTTTACAATTTTCTATGAAAGACCAGATCAGTGCTCCAAGGAAACCATGTTATTCTGACACATGGGCCCAGACACTGGTCTTGCATTAGTGCACTTTGATACTAATGTTTAATTTATAGAAAAACTCTGAACTAATACTATTTCTCAAAATCAGCCCTTAAAATCTCATGCACCCACCGCTTCTGCAATAGTCCCTGGGCCAAGAGGGACTGAACAGTTTTGATTTCTGGCCCTGTGTCTCATGAAAGCAGTTCATTTTTATTGTCTCCTCCTGGGTCTAAAGATGAGGCTTCAACTGGTGTCAATACTAAAGATGTAGCAGGGGTTGGTGCCTTCTTCAGACCCAGGATTCAAAGCCTTGCAACTTAATAGCATAAGGATTACTCAATAGGATATTTATACTGCAGAAAGTCCTATCATTCCCTCTAATGTGTTACAAATTAAAACACTGTGATTTGGTGTCTGAGTTGCTGCCTGCAGTACTTTAAACCACTGTATTAAAGCGTTAGGTTGCTCACTGCATATGTCTAGTTGCTAGCGCTCTAGAGACAGAACTGTGACCGAAAACATCAAAGTGTGGTAAGTCCTATGCTAAACTTACCAAAGTAAGACAACTAACTTTTCTTTCCATTATTTAACCTATTTACTGTTTGCCCCAAGAATACTCATCTCTAATCCTAATGTAACATCATATACATTAGGATTAGAGACAAGTTCTGTTTAGAAATAACCCCAAGAGTTTTTTAATTTTATTTTTACATTGAAAATCAGATTTGCTTCACCCTCAAAGAGCATGTTTATGTAAAATTAAATGAGTGTTGGCAGCGAGCTGCACTTTTTTTTTCCTAAATGGGAAATGGGTTAAAATGATGGTAAACACAAACATCAATTTTGTAAATTCAATATTAATTTCCTTTTCTTTAATCTCCTTTCACTTAAATATTATATAACAAAACAGTGACAAAGTAAGAACAAGCACACCCATCTTAATATATGGTTCTGAAAGTTTTGTATAACTTCTTTTCAGCTATTTTAAAAGGATATCATCACATGTTTACAAGATTGGTTTCTAGATACAGTACTGACAACTGGTTAGGTAACTTGCACCACTAAAATCTTCAAACCAGTGCAACACTTGTGCGTACTTTGTGAGTACACAAATGAAGTCCCATCAGTGATAAATGGCTTAGGATCGAAAATCACTAGAAACTCTCACTTTTTAATTATCATTACTTAATCCAAGTGAATGTCACTTAGTTTTAATAATGGTAAACACAACTAAATTAGTTTGAGAAAAATCCCAATTAATATAATTTCTCTAAGGACAAGGCCAATCTTTCCTAAACATTAAAACTTTGTACCCACATCACAGTTTTTTTTTTTTTTTCCTCATTACTTAAAGGAAAGATTGGAAACCAACTCAAATTGATTGAATTGAATGACCTTGGAAATAAATGATATTTAAACATTTTTATTCTCACCTACTTTTTCAAGTAACAAAAATAGCGTATGTACTATTTCTGCTCAGCACTTGTAAAACAAAGTCTTCTCCAGATCATACATGGTAAACAAAACCAACCACATTTTAATTGGCTGGTGTGCGCTATCAATTTTTGCAGGCTTGACAAAGGTAGCTTAGGAATTCTAAATAAATAGAACAAATGATAACTTGTTAGAAATACATAGAAATAAAGTGACTATTCACAGAACAAAATAAATGCCTTCCATTAAAAAACTAAAAAATATCAGTGGTTTTATATATATGTATATATAAGTAAAACCCAAAGGCAAATAAAGAGCAAATAATTGAAAATCAAAAGCAAAAACAAGTAAACAGGAAACCAATCCCAGATCTTTCTCCTACTCAGTTATCAGTTGACCTTGGATGCTACAGTATTACCCACAGCCTAAAATAACACATAATATTTTGTTCCTTGCAC